ATACATCGTGACATCACCATTGATCTCCCTACTTTGAATCCACACAATCTGATCCCCCCTTGTTCGCGCGGCAAACGAGGCAGGTTTGACCATTCGTGCGCCGCGATGCGTTATGAGCGCACAAGCTCAACTTGAAGAAACGAGGTGGACGACGTTTCGACATGCACACATGTGCAGCATGCATGCCGCATGTCCAACCAGGGGTCGCAAGCTGCCAGGCAAAATGGTTGGGAAGCAGAAAACCCGGAGGTCCAGCGCGAGTGCCTATCTGGATTTTTGCATGTGACTTCAGGACACCTTGTTCTACAAAACCAACATTTTTCTGGGGGGGCATAAGCGGTGGACCAAGCCGTCCTGATTTTGTGAGCTTATTAAAAAAAGCTATTTACCTGGTAAGATTACACTTTCATGATACTATATTCTGAATGTCATAACCACATAGAGGGATCCAACCGTAGTGGTCAAATTTCGCCGTAGATTTTGCTATACGCGCGACAAGTTCATTGCATAATTGCCATCTGTTCGGTTTCTGCTTTCCCAGCCCTCAAGCTGGCAGCTTGCGACCCCTGTGTCCAACCGTCACTCGTAGGATTTGTACGTCGAGTTAACATATATTCATATGACCAGTTGTTTGGACCATGTACGTGGATCATATGGCAGCGACATGACAGCGCTGCCCGGCCGGGCGTGCAATAAACAACGTGCTTAGACTTTAACGAGCAGGACCGGGCCTTGTTTCTGCGGATACAGTTGGATGTGGCCGTGAGTCAGGTTCGATGCCGGGTAAAATCTTTAAATCAAATATAAGTCCGAAACACATCTGATAGCAGATCATATCCAGAACAGAAACCAAAACCTGTTCTTCTGCCGATTGTATTCTACCGGTAACTTCTCACTATCAATGATTGAACCTATCGCCTGATCGTTCTAAGCCAGCGCCAAACTTAGATTCTTAGTTTAAAAAGCTGTTTTACGTATCTACAGTAGTAGAAAACTGACTCCCTGCCTCATCCAATGATCTTATGAGGGCGCGCTCTTGATCTCTCTTCTGTGTGTACTTGGCCCCCTCTACTCTTTGACGATAGTCCTACGTAGGAACAGCAATCTGCCGCTGGCGCTCCAAATCAACCCAACAGAAAACGTTCAAGCGTTCGGCTAATCCTCTTCAGTGCTCCTTTTTGTACTCTCTCGTATCGCAGTCTCCAGAACTGTCGCAGGGTACCACACAGTGACGGCGGCTCACTCATTTCAAGCGCTGTCTCACCCATCCGGTTCGACGCTCTACAACGTTACTCCTCACAAAATATCAACATATGGTAGGGCCCGCAGTTTTGACTTTCTTCCTCAAATTAGACTACGTAATTAACAAATCACTGCGTGACAATGTCGTCCCTACTGAGCCTGCTTCATCCCGCCTGCCAGTTACATCATCCAGCGCTTGCTGCGCCTACGATCACCCGACGTGCGTGCCCAGCCGTCTTCTGCCGTTCCCTCACTCACAAGGGGCTGCCCAATTTCCACCTTTGCTCCAAAGCCGGACAGCTTCCTCGTGGCCATTCCCCCAATAGCGGCCCTCGTTTCAGCGAGGCCACCACTCGCACTTCTCGCCGCTGCCTCGTCCTTCTCTGCCGTCGAGTCCGAGCCACTGTCCGCGCCGCGCGTGCTGTCCGAGTTCGCCGGGGGAGGTGGCAGCTGCATGGGGTCCGTCTCCGCATCTCTCGGGGCCTGCGAAGCGCGAAGAAACCAAAGTTAAGAAAAGGTCTCCAAAGAAATTCACTGTCCACTTGAAAAGCCCGCCATGCGGTCAGCGTTTTCTTGGTTTTGTTGTTTTTGTGTTTTGTTTTTTTTGAACAGGAGCAGACTGCGATTCAACGTTTCCTGGAAGCAAGCTGCAAACCCGAAGGAAACAGAACACAGATTCCAAGCGAATGAAGGAACTGGCTCAAGCGAACGGTTCGATTGAGTTGTGGACTGTCGGACATTTACTCTCGAGAGCATATGGTGACGTAACGAGCAACGAATTTTCCGGACCGCAAATAGCTAGACTCCGGATGTGATTGTGCCTGCAAAAGCACTCTCTGCATGTGGCCAGAGACGTGGCTGAAAGCAGTGTCGATACACCTCTGCAAGTCAGAAATTGCTCGATCTTTTCCGGTAACCATCCTGTAAATGGGATCGGCGCAATATATCCTCAAGCGGCGAGAGATAACTCCTCCGTCAACCAGAGAATTAACACCCCCACCCTTCTTTCCCCACTGCACTCGACAGAAGGCTTTCAGCAAGCTTGCGAGGTCGGCTCGACATTCCGTCTGACTTTACGCGTGGTTTCGATGAAACGAAAAGCATGCAGTATGCAGAGGTAACTTTGGAGCGTACAGACGATACCAAGAACAGAGAGTAGAGAGGACGCACCTTGGAGGGTTTGGCAGCGGATCGGGGGTGGGCGCCCATCGCGGCAATCTCGATGAAGTTCGGGCGGTCCAGCGTCTGGCTCGACCCGCTCTTCCGCCGCTTCTCTCCGCGCAAACTCCGCTCGAGCCTGTCCTGCTCCCACCAGTCGGCCGAGAAGGGCTCCGCCGGGCGCTTCTCGGCGCATGTGGTCTGCCCGGTCTTTGCGGCGCCGGGCGGGCTCCGCGCCAGCTTCTGGCGGGGCGCAAAGACGTCCGACCCGTCGCCGGTGGGGAAGATCTGCAATCAGGGTTAGGATTGGGTTAGGATTGGGTTAGGATTGGGTTAGGATGGATAGTGTTTCGTTTCAGAGCGCTTGTGTCGGACGGCCGTGGCTGTGATCGGGTTACCGGCCGAAGATTGGAGCGGGAATTGCTACGAGAGATGTCGACATTCCGAAACTATGCGGGAAGGTACAGCGGCTTACAAGGGTCTGAAGATAGAAGGAGTCCGTGTTTCAAGTCGCTTCAAGAGCATCCGAAACACAAGGCCCAGGGGCAGGAAAGAGCTTCGTTGCAGTTTGGCGCTTAAGATGAGAGTCTGCGGCACTTGTTTCTGGATAAAAACATTTTCCGGTTTGCCTTTCCAATGCAGATGTTCACTGATTCTCGTCTACTCCAGTCTAGATTTGAGCACAGGCGGGATGTACGGCTTCGGTTTCAGAGGAGCGGAAATCAGTAGGTTAAGAGCCCAATAGAATGCTTACCTCCTCTGCCTGCATCACGTTAATGGCTCCATTTGCCACGATATCAGCCCCTTCCACCCCCTCATCGTCGACGACCGACTCCTTCTTGCGCGGAGACGCCTTCCCCGGCTGTGCCTCCTGCGGAAGAACAGGCGACTTTAAGCAAGCCGGTCGTCAATCTTCGTCCTCCTTTTCAGAAAAGTATCAACGAAGCAGACAGGAGCAGTGGTTGTCACAATTATCGAGGATCTGACTACTACGTTTTATCAAGCCAGTCGTCGATCTTCGTCCTCGTTTTCATTGGAAACATCAATGAAGCAGACAGGAGCAGTGATTGTCACCGTCATCGAGGATCTGACTACTGCCGCAGTGAAAAGAGGTGATGAACGTGCTTACTTTCGGCGTTTGTAGGGAGTTGCTGGCTGTATTTGCCGCCGCATCCCCGCCCCCTTTCGCAATCGCCGTGACTCGCTCCATTTCTTCCGCAGGGGTCTCCGCGGGTTGTACCTCCTGCGGAAGAAAGGGTGCGTTTTAAGAGGCTAGTCGCTCAGCTTTGTTTTCCTATCAAGGAGAAAGCTCGCTAAAGCTAAAAAGGAGAAGGAAGCTCCACGATTGATGTTCTTAAGTGAAGGTTGCCATGAAACAAGGCACTTCAGGAAGCAGACCTGGCTTGCGTAAGGTGCGAACGACCAGAAAGGAATCAGTCTAAGCAAAAGAGGGCAGTCAGTAAGAGCTATACTCACAAACGCGAACTTAGGACGATATTCATATCTCGGAGTCGACAAGTTCAATGGCTCGGAGTGGCTGAGGTCATCCGCTGATGTCACATCATAGTCGCGAAAGGGGACGCCTACCTTAGCGACAGGAAGCACTGGCGCCGGCCCGGCGTCCTCCATCTGGCGGGTTGCGGCGGATGCGTTGGACTTCAGTTCGCGATCTTGGTACTTGCGTGGCGTTGCGTCCGTGGATGGCTGCTTCGAGAGGGACTCTACGTCCTTCACAACGGGCTTGTTCTTCTCTGAAACCGGGCTGCAAAAGAGGATGCAGAAAAAATATCAGTTTCCTGCTTGGAAGGGACAGCTGCTGCTTATTGATGTATCAGAACTGGATTCTGTGTCACTTTTCTGGCTGATGCGTGCACTTTTGAGATACCAGAGAGGAAAAGTGCGCTTTGAGGTACTGTACTACAATCGAGAGTGCGTAATGGGAGAGTGCTAGTGATTGGGACAATCTCCCAAAGAAAGTTTTGCAGATGGGGTGGTCCCATATATGAACAGTGAGCTTCCTCCTCAGTTGTTCGGCTGGAGTGCCCTGAAAAGCCTGAGGCGCCCAAACTTACCTCAAGTGGCCTTCCAATGTTGAAATGCAATCTGACTACGGAAAACCAAAACGAGACATGTCAGAGATGTTTGACATACTCACTCATTGTCCATGAAGGGCTTCAGCGAAGGACCATTTTGCACCGAGTGCGCGAGAGGCGCGTTGACATTGTTGATGAAAAGACCCTGCGGCAGAGCAACGATACATTTAGAAACCCCCTGGGAGCCGGAATGAATCGGGTGGGAATCATGACGGAGAATGCATAGGACCACAGCAAGGAGAGGCAAAACGAATGATCCTGCAAAACACCTCAAGGTCATTCTGCAGGCACAGGTGCTCCTACAAGGGGTTTTGCACGCGTTGGGCCTTGTTTTCGCTGAATTGAGGTGCGGAGGAAGTCGAAGCGAGGGTTCAAAAGAAAACAGAAACTTGCAGCAGGAGAGGCCGTGAAGGCGAAACGAGCTAACTCTGGAAGCGTTGTGCCCGAGGAACTAAATATTAAACGCCTGCGCTCACCTTCTCGTGCTTAGCACCCAGAATTCCGTACGCGGCAAGTACAGCGACACCTGAGCCAGCAGAGACTGCGACGGAACTGGAAACCGGTGCGGAGGCTTTGGTCGGCGAGGTCTCCTGCGAGAACATGCGAGTGGATCAAGATCTCGTCAAATGTATCTCGCACTTACGATTGTCGATCGAGTAAGATCAGATACTGGATAGAGACGACGGCTGATGCTCAATGTTTCACTTTCAAGGGTTCTCTGCCAGCCTGGTTGTCAATGTGCTTTTTGCAGGGGCGTTTCAGACTTGGCAGCTGCGCACGGATTGTAAGACCAGCAATCGGAATGAAAGTCACGCTCAGACAGGCCACGTGTCATGAAATTACGGGTTCTCACACAAGGTCTGGTCCGGTCGAACGAACCGGAAATTGTCACTTGCCTTCACAAGCAGAACATGCCTATTGTAAAGGAACATTACTATACCTGCACTCGCCCAGACATGAAACTCGACGAACCCAGAGCTATCACGAAAGTATGCCCTCATTTATCTAAAGGGAAGCAAACTGGCAATCAAGCTTGTTGTCCCCTACTAATCTGCCAAACCCACCTCAGCAGCGTCCTGAGCCGCCTTCTCCGGCCCTTCCTGGAACTTGGCGAATAGGGAAGCAGCCTGGCGGGGCCGTGCACGTTGCTTGGGGAGGGGTGCTGCGATGGACGGATTCTTCTGGCCGTGGTCGCCCCTACAAAGACGAAAAGCAAGAATTGCGAGTGAGATGCAAAGCGACACCACGGCCTTCCGCCAGTTGGAAGGTTGGCAGGTTAGGAAAGACACCACTGCAGCTGAATTCATTTTGCCTGCAAGAAAAGTGGAGGCCGCAAGGCAGAGCAGAGGGTGGACTTTGCTCTGCGCCTTCTTTTGTGACGCACTAAGGCTGGAATGGGCGTCAACCAAGTTGATCGGTTCGAAGAGCTGTCAGGGCTGTGAGGCGCGCGCTACCGCTGGCTCCTCTCTTACTCACTTGTCAAAGTTGAGTTTGTGGAGGAAACCGCTGGCTTTGAGCTTGCTCTCCGTTTTCTGCTTTCCATCCTTGGCCGTGGAGTGCTGAGCCTGCATCAACACGATTAGATTCGAGTGATTGGTCGGAATCAAAAGACGCTGCTGAGAAAAATACAGGTGATACAGTACTGATTGCTACGCAAAATCAGACCATTGGATAAGTGCCGCCCTTCAACTTTTCAGGCACCCGACCAGGGTTGCATAGTCAAGCTGACCAGCGTTTGTGGTCGAATATTTTCTCGAAGAAGTCATGAGCTGCTTGGAAGGATAAACCACAGCCAGACAGGGAACAATCGTGTTACGGCCGAAGAGCGCCATAAAGGTCCAGAGATTCCTTAAATTCAGGTGAGGCTTGTCCGTCCAACTGTCGGTGTCGGCGAACAGATCGGACCAACTCGTGGCAAAACGCTGGCCCTTGCGGTCTCATCCTGACGTCAGCAACCGACTAATTTCCATTCTGCCGCAAGGAGACGTCAGAAAGGTCCAACAAACGACCACAGATGGCGTCAGCTCGTGACGTCATCGAGTCCGGAGCTTTCGGAACATACCACTGTAGCACTCTCTGACGTCATGATGGCGGCCGTGTCGCCCTTCAGCTTCTGAGATGCGTAGAGGAGGCGGCTCCGGGACAATGCGCCGCGGTCGATGAGGGAAGAAACTCGCTTCGGAGGGATTGGCTGCGACGGAACCTGGGGCACAAGAAACGAGACTCAGTTTAGGCTTTCGAAATAGTACGAGTCTCGCGAGCAAGACGCGAAACAGCAGAATCACTTGTTTGTACGAGCGAAAGCTGGCGACGCAGGTGTGATTTAAAGATAAAGGAGCGGGTCGACAATTGCTTCAGGTTTCAATCCAGAGCAGCGGCAGTGCAAGGCATACAAACTAGCTAGTCATCGCACGGCGATCAGCAGCTGTTTCAGTCACGCGCATCGCCAACTACGTGACGTCAGCGACGGCTGTGATGCCGGCCTTCAAGAGCTGACGTCAACACAATGTGTTCCAGCATAAGCTGACGTCAGCTGCTGACGCAGTCCAATCTTCTTGGCGCCCAAAACAGAGCTGACGTCACCACAATGTGGTCCAGCATAAGCTGACGTCAGCTGCTGACGCAGTCCGATTTTCGTTGCGCCCAAAACGTACCTTTGAAGCATCCTCTGGCGCTTTCTCGGCGACTGGATCGGCCTTTGGCGGCTGCGTTGGGGTGGAAGCGGGGTTGAAGGCGAGCAAGTCTCCACTGTCCACGGGCTTCTCCAGAGCGGTAGTATGCTGGCCACGCGGAGCACTGTGGAACAGCAAAGAGTCAGATAATGTGTGAGTTAGAAAGCAATCAAGCGAGTGATGCACGGTTCTTGCAGAGCGGTCGCCGAGTTGGTGTCGGGTGGCAGGACTCTAAATTCCATACGGTACTGGAGTGGAAACCAAAGTCCCGTTACATTGATCCAAGAAAAGATCGCTAACCAACAAACCATGAGTGTGACCCTTCATCTTCAAGACCAAACCCGGTCATTGAGACATTGGGCAGACCATTCTCGCACTTCCCTGGCGAGAGACACTGTTTCCGATTGCAACATGTCTTTCTTTGTGCGCAGAATTTTTGGAGTCAGATCGCTAACCTTGCGGCTGCAGAGGTGAGTCCATTGCCAGTGTACTGGCGGATGATGGGCGCGTCGAGAACGTCTGGAGTCTGCGCCACAGTACTCATCTTAGTTAGATTCCCCTAGAGGTTGAGCGGGCCAAAAGACGACAATTGCTTTTGGGATCATGTCTCCTAAAATGCTCTCCAACACCATAATTCGCCAAGCGACGGTCAACTTCGTGCTAGCCTTCCATTGCATACCCCGACTTCGACGAAGGATTCTGAATTCGAGAAGTACAGACGTTTTGGCAGTGGCCGAGATGAAGGCCAGCGATCTACCGATAGCGCACAACAAGAGCAGACACCGAGAGAAGCTTCGATACGAAGCGACCGCTTTCTTGTTGCAACCGGGACTGAGAACAGCAAAGGCACAGAAGGAGACTTTTGAGTGTTTCTATACCTGCGGTAAATAGACAATTCTGTGAATGAGCAGTTCGTCTTTCTCGCTTTACAAGCTTACCTTGTAGGTGAAGGGCGTCAAGATATCTGAGGCTGCCGCTAGCCCACGCCCGGCAAAGCTCTGGACGACGTCGTTACCGCGGTGCATCTGCAAAGAGAGATGCGGCAGAGCGGGCTCATGTTTTTGCGACCGCAACTTCATCAGGATGTTGAGAACCAGCGCGACAAGCGGAGGCGTTGATCAGAGGTACAATGCAACTCAGATGATTGCCACCAGATATCCCCAACATATTTGAGCACAGAAGAACCGATGCTGAGCGAGTTCAGATTTGCGAAAGCAGAGTCCGTGAAGCGCGCTTCTGGTATGGAGCCTTTCAGAACCTCACCAGATGAAGATTGGTGGACGGGATGTCCGGATTTGCGTATACGGTGTCCCCGACCGCATCAATACTGTCCAATCAAATGACAATGAGTTTAAGGACCGCGAGAATCGTAAATAAAGACGTCATCCTTCGGACTACTACAAGATCCACACCGCCAGCCTAGCGACAGAGCCGGACAGAGAGAGACACAGCGAGCAAGATGTACCTCAGAGAGACAGCCGGAGCGAAAACAGTCCTGATTGCAGCTGCCAGCTCCGTGCAGATCACACTTAGCTCAAGATTCGCCAGCTTTTTGAGACTCTCTGCCCACACCCCCAAATTGCAGGCGTACAAAAGCGTCTTTTTCCTTGGGGTCCTTTCCCGACGTAACGTTGAGAGGATTCTCTGCTTAGGCTGCTGTTCGTGTCGGAAGCATCTTTTTCCGTGTATTCGTCATCGGAGCAAGCGGAATCGTCGTTCGTTCCGCTTACCTTTGTCTGGACCACGCTCTGCTCCGCTTGGGCAGCCACCACAGTCAGCGGGAAAATGCGCTCGTCCACCTTGCCAGCCTGAAACTCCCCCTCCTCCGGTTCGTCCGCCAGCGGATTCTCGGCCCACCACTCAATTGCGTTCCGGCGTCGCAGGTGCAGCTCGGACGGTAAATCGTCGCTTTCCACTTGCTCTCGTTGCACTTGCGCCAGGCTGAAGCTTGAGTAGGTGATCTTTGCCGCCCCGCCGACCGCTTCCCCAATGCTCCCGGGGTCACCAGCCGACTCCTCCCGCTTCCTGCCGAACCCCGCTGTACGTCCCGTCATCGGCTGTGCCCAATCGGTCGTACTCTTCCAGGATCCGATGCCGCCCCCGCCCAGGAGACTTAGTGCGGGCGCGCCTTGTGCCTCACTCGCGTAAGTGAGGAGAAGGGGTTGGTTGAGAGATGTTGCGCTGGGCTTCAGGGGGGAGGACTTGGGGAGCGGCGATCCAAGGACAAGCGGTTGATGGGGCAGGGGGGCGCGTGGCGCGCGGCGGTTCTGCACGGGGACGTCCTCGGGCCTAAATCGTTGTCCCGGGATGATGAAGCCGGCGCCCAACTGAAATACAAGTGCAAGTTATTAGAAAGAAGTGTTGGCTGTAAAACAGGCATTACCACTTGCGAAGAGTTTACTTTGGCTTCACCGGGGGCGTCTTTTCAGACGGCAGCCTGAACAGACATAACGAGGCATTTGATATAAGTAGGGATCGCGTCGCTGATTGTCAGGAGCATAAAACGAATCAGGGGCATAAAACGCATCATAAGATTTGTTCGCTAGGGGTTTTGAGTCCATTGCGAAGCGCAGCCACGGCCACTTTCTGTTTCGCAGCCAATCAGCTTTTACTGACAAAGAGCCCGACCTATTTTGATTGAGGCAAAGGCTGGGGCCGAGGCAGCAGAGGTGGCCCCGTGTGCAACTTAGCCACTTGCATTCAGACATGACGGCGCCTCATTCACATCAGAGCCGCACTTTACATCCCTTTTACTCGATTTTCAGCCTCAACGCATTTCAAGCATCGTTCAGCGCGGTTCCCCTTACCTTGGCGTGCGTCTCGATGGATCCCACGCTCCCTGCAGTCGCTGCCAGCACATCGGCCCCTCCTTCCACGCCGTCGTCGCGGATTTCCCCCTCCTCTAGTTCCTCCTCTGCCACCGGCTCCAGCGGCCGACTCACCGAGCTCCGGCGCCGCTTGCGCCCCAGGTGCTCCGGCGCTCCCCACGCTGCCACGTGGCTCATCGAGCGGCCGTCGTTCGCGGGCAACGGCGTGGGGTCCATGTCACTGCTGCTCCTGTTGTACCATTGCCGGTCGTTTTGGAGAGGTTTGACGTACCGCGCGAGTTGCAACTCCACGTCGCAGGCGCCGCCCCCGCTCTTGCGCCAAGCGCTCGCCCGCCCCTTCTCGGTGCTGCTGTCAGACTGAGGTGACGTCAGGCGATGCTCTAGGAGGAGCGGGGGCTTTTGCATGCTGGCGTCGCTTCCTTCCGAGCCGAGAGAGTGACCGGGGCTGGGCGCGTCAGGGTTGCAGATGAGGGGATGCACGTCGGGGCCGCAGTCGACGTTTTTCAGGGAAAAGCTTCCGGACGAAGTGGTCAGCGATGGTGCCTGGGGGTTTGAGACGGGGCGCCCGGGGTGCATAACTGACCACGACGGCACGTCTTCAACGGGAACCATCTCTCTTTGGAGGTCGGAAGAAGCGAGAGGCGCGCTCGGGGGGTGAGGATTCCACAGATGTGGTGGGACATCGGCGCTGTGGCTCTTCTTGGTCGGGAGAGCGGTGGACGGCTCCGCTGCCAGAGAGCTCGTCCGAGGCTTCAGGGGGCGGCGGCCTTCAAGATGGGAATAGCTGGTGTGCGGCTGCGCTGGTTGACTGGGCTCTGGGCGGGAGGTTGGAGGAACGTCCACCTGAACAGAAGGAAGACCGTCCGTCAAGAGCTGACAAACCGCGTACACTCGGGGCTTCACGCTCGTCGTTTCGTGGGGAGAGCTGGCAGCACAAAGAACTGGTCCTTGCAAGTATCGATGATGTAGACGAGCGATTTTCAGAATTTTTGACATGCAGTTGCAAGGTGTAGCGATTGGGGCGGGATGCCTGACGCACTGCAGACTTTTGGGTATCGTCCCAAGCAATTTGCAGAAAAGAAGATTACGGTTTTAGGTAGCGACGCCCAAGATAAGCAGTTATGCTGACACAACTAGCGGCTGAGGAGATGGCTGCAAAACAAACTACGCACCCTGAACATGAGCTCTGTCGGTTCCACCTCTGAATTACTCTAAGAGTACTCACCCCTTGAATTGACTAGAGGTCGTTCCCTTTGGCCGATCAGGCCTTCAGACAAGCACCTTGCTCATACTGAAAGTTCCTCTTCGAACTCAACACCTTTTACTTCCATGTCAGAACTTTCTAATGAATATTTCGGCTGAAAACAGACACATGCTGAAGGTTTTGCCAGGTTCGGAAAGTCAGACCTTCGTCAATCGCACACGCTGCGCATCAAGTAGACTTTTAAGCTCGACAGACAGATAACTGCCTTTTGCACGGGTAACGCCTTGACAAAAAACCCTGGAACGCAAGTCAACAATATCTGGGAAAGAAGCAGCCGTAAAAGAAGCGCTGGCCGAAGATGCGAAGCAAAGCCTGAGGAGAAAGCCTGGACTGCGTCTCTCACCGGACCAGCCACGTCCCTGTCTGCCCCCAAGCTCTCGCCGCGAACGCTCGTTGACCCTGCGGACTGCTGCGCAGTGCTGGCGGCCCCATAGGCGGGTGCGCCCTGCTGTGGCGACGCGCCGATTGGGAGAGACGAAGCGCCACCGACAGTGCTTGAGCCACGGCGTCCGTGGACCTGTGGGACATAAGCAGGGACAGGGTTACTTCCGTGCGCCGGATGCAGGGGCTAAGCAGAAGTCGCTAAACGGAAATTTGGATGGCACGACAACTGATTGATTTCGGTCTTCTTGTCACCGTCCAAAAAATCTCCGCTTTCGAATCAGGTCCATCGCAATACGCCAATAGTTTATTGATAAAAGCAGAGAGGAAGACATAGGTTGGCAGATTCAGAGCAATTGAGGATGCCTGGGGGTGATGCAATGCACTCAACGAAGCACTTACTCTGGTAGTCGTTTTCCAATTATGCCAGACTCATATGTTTCCAACAAACCATTTATATAGCGATTCTCATAAAGTAGCAAAATTAAAAAGCAGAGATTACTTTAAGGGTTTTGTCCTCGTCCAGCAAACATCCCATTGCAAACCTCGGTTCACCAAAACCTGGTATCACGCAGCGTCTTCTGCAGACCTCAACCATCATCTTCCGACAAGCCAAGCAAGTTATAAGGTTGCGTATGGCCTTGTACACTAAGAAGATAACTTACAAAGCACCTTTTAGAACCAGTCTTCCAATCATTGCGGCTAAATTTGACACACAAGTCCTGCCACACCCACTGCTTGCTGTGCTCACCTTTCTCATCAGCTCCTTGACCTGCGCCTCAGCTTCAACGTACTCGGCTTCCGCGCAATTACTCTTCTCCCACGCCTCCCGCTTGGCCTCCCTCGCGGCCTTCCGCTATTCCCCCCTTTTGCCGCTTGCCGCTCTGCCTCCTCCCACTTCTTTGCCTCCGCTTCGGCAGCCGTCATGCGGTCATCGGCGGCGTCAGCTGCGCGCTTTGCAGCCTCGAGCGCTGCGGCTAACGCATCTTTCTCGTTTGCTGGCGCGTGGCTATTGGGGTTACTGAGGTTGGGGGAGCACTCGGTGAGGATGCCCCGGGGGTCTGAGGAGACGCGAGGCGCCTGCATGGCCGGCTTGTCCTTTGCGACAGATCTGAGGGAGGGGTTGGGCTGGGCCTCACTTGGGTTTGAGGCGTCCTGAAAGAGGAAGTTGTGAAGGGTGTCAGATGTGCCACGTGTCTGAGAGGGGCCCGATAAAATGAGCAGGTTTCGGAGTGGCCTCTGCGGTGCTTGAAAGGCCAGGAGAGCTCACGGACTTGCCAAAGAAAATTTGTTAACCCTAAGTAATGCTAGTAAAGTTGAAAGGTGTCAGGCTAACAGGTCGACACTTCCAGATTGCACTGGCTTCGACTTGGTCCAGTGCTCAATAGTTGCAACGTTCTCCAGTCAGGTACTGAAAGTTCAGAAGAACCTTCTAGACTCCTTCAAAGCCGCAGATCCGAGCAAGCGTAAGTCTTGGTAAAGTGCATAAAGGAGATGATTCCTACCAATTGTAAACGTATGTCTGGAAGGGCTTCCGATGAGTCCGGACATCAGCCATCAGCCATAATGTGCTACACAAACAGGACATTTCCGAGCATAAGGCTGCTCCTTTAACAGTCCATTCAAAGATAAGTGTGTGCCAGGAAAGACCAGGGAACTCGAGGGTGCCTGAAGACTTCAACGACGAGGTGCAAAAGCAGTGGCATCGCCTGCCAGAACTTGGCCATCGAGCAAGAAGCTGCTCTTAAAGTCCTACTTCCGCTCACCTGGCTGTGCGTGCGGGCTCGCTTGGGCGGCGCAGCGGCGGTCTCCTCATCTTCGTAGACCCCTGCTCGTCGAGCGGCAGCAGAGTTGGATGACTGGGGTGACGCCGAGTGGAAATACGAGTTTGGTGCGGTCCTGCAAAACATGGATGACACCGTTGTTTAAGGTTTGGCAGAGACCCTGTATTTTCCTTGGATGCGCAACATACTTCTTCGAGAATGGATATCTCTGAAACAGATTGTTTGGCCAACGACGCAGTTAAGGTTATCAATGGGTATGTTGAGTGTTCTGGCACACGACAGTTCATGTGGCCCCCTTAACAGTGGATTCCTCTTGCAATCCTCTCTTCGTGCCAGGGGCCACATCTTTGGATGGCCAACTGCAGAAGTGCTGAAGACATCTTGAGTGTAGGGATTACAGCAGTTGTTTAAGAACGAAGGCAAGAATCAATCAACATGTTTGATTAAGGCTTGGCCCCACCATTCCCATCATCCATTGGATTGCTCGAAAGGGCTATCTCATAAACAGTATCTTTTGGCATCCCTGCTTGCGACAGAAATTAAAACCATCACGAGGGTTGCCAAAGCAGGATCTAGATGCACTTGGGAGGAATAATAACAACAAAGCTCCAAGAGTTGCATACGTATTATCTGCCCATCAAACTCCAGTGAAAACATTCTCCAGAAATTCCACAATGAGATATTAAGACCTGCCTCCAGTTACTGCACCCCTCCATGGATCCATGATTTACAAATCTTGAGCCCTCGATTGTCCCATGATTGACAAACACCATCCGCTCCCTGCCCCCTTGCGACTCCTCGTGCTTCTCCATGCGCTTACGTTTGCAATCGACGCCCCTCTGCATGGAAGGAGTTTGAAACCTTAGCGAATACACCTCAATTCAATCTTAATTCGACGGCTATTTTGAAATGCCCTGTCGAGTAAGTTGCAACCTTGGAGCAACCCAAAATGGCATAAGCAGAGCAGGAGACACTGCACAATGAGGCCTTGAAATGTGCCTGTTGCCTTCAGGTGTCAACAATGTAATGCCAGTGGACTATCTACTCGGAGAAGCAGGAGAAAGTTTAAAAATGTCAACTAATGCGCATTGATGAAGTCATCATCTTAGCGGACCCGGGTCTGGGCATTTGTTCTCAATACATCTGCCATCCTTGCATTCACGGCACATTATTATTCCAAACAAAATTGAACATATGTCGCGCATATCGTTCACCATTGACGAAACAGAAAAAGTGGCATACATATGGTTCGACGTCCGCCGTGTAAATTGGGCAGTATCCATGGGAGAAATCCAAGCTGATATCACCAGAGCGTTTGAAACAATTGCTATCTTGAAAGGAACTGGATTAGTACACAAAGTAATGTTACAAGTTAGTGGTTCTCGGACTACCGAGATGGTCAAGCTACCAGAGTGCTTTCAAAATATTTAAAGTGAGCAGGGGAATATCTAGGACGCCTCTGCCTTCAAGAAGCTTGCATAAGCAGAGCACGCCCCTGCGTGCCTGTCAAACCCAACCCACTCGCATTCTCTCCCACAAAACCAGGCGACCTTGCACTCGGAGCACTGTAAAACTGCGCCCTTCTTTTTGCAGGTCAGGCAATGGTGTGAATAATCCCTCCGCGCTTTCCTGTCGCTGACTTCCTTGATATCGTTGAATAGAGTCCCCTCGCGTTGCGAGCGAGAGAGTGGGAAGGACAGCCACAACGTGAGGTATGCCGGATTGCCGTCCTCTGAATCTGGAAAAAGGGCTACCATGATCTTCAGGAGAAAGTCATTGGCCTCCTGTTCCGGCAGCCCAGAATGCCAATCAACCGAGTCTGCCCCAGCCCTTTGTCCATAGTCCTCGTCCACAACAACCCAATAAATAGACCTGTTACGATCGCGCTGGAATCCGGGGCTCAGCGTTGCCAACACCAACTCCTCCCACACCCGCATCTTCAAGAGCATCACATTTCTGTTGCTGCCAGGATCCTCAAACAGCCTGTCCAGGTCCTTCAAAGCCAGAAACCACGCCGCAAACCTGGCCTTACGGAACGCATGACCATCACCATAGACGAGAAGAAGCCTACAAGGCTCAGGCGCCACCATGCTCCCATTCTGCTGAGAAAACGAGCACACGGAGTCTGATCCGCCCAGACTTCTCCACGCATACCTCATCGAACCAGATGTCTTTCAGTGCTCCGAATCTCCGAATCAGGAATGGACGACAATGGCCGTGACCTGTCCAATAAGATACCAGTTCGAGATTCGGCGATCCTTCGGACACGTCACGTGAGAATATCGACGGTGCTGTGCGGGAAAGGGGGGGTACGCAGATCGCATGTAGAGATTTTGAGATATCCATGACACCTCACATAATTATATGGATGGTGTTGCGCGAATGTTACTACCCGGGCACTGTTTGGCCCGTGATATCCCCCGGGGCTATTGCCAATCACTTCATCCATGAGTGGGCTTTTGACTCGAACGAGGAGAGAAGCCTTGGCTCGATACTTTCTTCTGCGTCAAGATGGGTGCTTCGAAAAAGCGAGCGTAGTACAAGCAGACATGGTAGGGCAGCCACCAGAATGTTTTTGTGACACGTGTGTTCCGGTGGACATCGAGGAGCCTGACACCTGCAATGCTTTAGGTCTGCCGCCTGGCGGTGTACCCGGTGTCTGAGTGGGTGCTTCCACCACTGATTGGGCAAAGACAGAGGACTGCGCAGACTGAGACGGGTGTCACCAGGGGAAAGGTGCTACAGTCCCTGAAGGAGGAGGCATGGCAGACGCAAGTGATATTGCTGGTCCTGTGTGGGCATGGGTCCAGGGGAGCTGAGCTGGTCTTTGCCTTTGAAATCTGCTTCATCTAATGCAGCTGCTACGTCAGACAGCAACATTATGCTCCTGTCATCTGTGGTATCTGCACAAGACTCACGCAAGCATCAAGGCATGCTGTCTAGAATAGTCCTACCTCCTATGCAACTTACAGCACTCCTTGTGTCTAACCCAGTCCGCCCTTTGGCAATCTGCACTGCAATATCTACAGAGCTCGCATTGGAGCACATTGTTCTTGCAGTGGACCCACACTTTGCACAAGTTTTCTGAAACATGGAGGTCTGCTCTGGCGTCACATCTGATACCTCTAGTCTCTGACTGGGGATGGGGAGCACTTGCTGCAGGCGTCAAAGACCGCGGAATGGACCACCACATCAGCTTTCGTTCATTGCCAAATAATTCCTCATACAGAACCCTCAGGTGCCCACTCCCAATGTTGGGAACCACTAGCTCCATGTCATCCGTGTGATATTGCAACACTAGACTGCTCCACGGAACCCTCAGATGATGTACTTGGAATGTACGCAATCAAGAATGGGTACCCAGGGTCGAATGAAAGATGAACACCCGTGAATTAACGCGAGGTAAAAGTGCAGGCTGCTGTAACTCATTGCAATGCAAACATAATCGTGGCAAACCCAAGGTTCACACGATACTTCAGATGGTTCGACACTGCTTATGCTGTCCCCAATCGCTAGCCTGATGCTCCTTTGAGCAGTAATAGACTGACCTACACTGAGCACAGCGCTACAAAGTACCTCCTGCGCCACCGACTGAGCACTCTGGAGCAATTGTCCTGTCCTGGCACTATCTCCTTTTTAAGCCGCTTTCATCTGGCTCTCTCAGCTCTCTAAAAACTCGTCTGAATGCATCCGACTTACAATAATAGTGTATGTCATCTGGAACTGCAATGTCTTCTACGATCTCCACACAATCGCCCCCGTTCCTGGCGCACCCTGTGCTGAATGAGGATCGCCTTGCCGAGGATGGTCCCAGTACTGAACTCTCCCAACTTCAGAGAGAAGCCTGGAGCCTGAAGGGTGGCTGCATTGTCTGGGTCTGCAATCTGCCAGGTCGCCATGAAGTAGCCAGTTTCCCTTCTACTGAGGTGAGTATCTCATGGTCGTTGACGATAATGAGCTCACCAAAAGTCCTACGAGCCTCTGGCAAGCTTAGTGCCTCATCCAAGAAGGTTGCGTCTACACGAAAACGCAAGCCTTCAACCCCCTCATCTGTATCCTGGGCTACAGTTGCATCTAGCAGCTTGTGGGACTTTGGATAAGGGTCAACTAGCAGGACCTTGACTATGCCGCTCTCTGCGTGTGCTGTTGCCTTCCTTTGCAGCTCATTGAAGACATGCCCTCGCACCTGCTGCTCGACTTTAGTTCGCTGGACGTAGAGGGTCAGCTGCGCCTACGTCAAGCCGATCTAGGCCATTGTGGTGCCTTTTTCTTGTTTTGTTGTCTAACAGCGGCGAATTTCTATTATAAAGCTTCAACTTTCAATGTTACAAGTGACAGGTGTGGAGAGAGTTGGGACTTGTGTACTTTGGATGAGAGGGACTGCCCACCTGACCGAAAAGTACGCCGCACGTGGGAAAGCTTGCTGAGCGGCCACCACGCGCGAAGGAAACGGGGTAAGGCGTGTCCGAATTCTAGGACACGCGCCATTCGAGAAGCCCCAGCTTTCCTTTGAGATCAATCCTCATCTTCGGGGCCTCTCCTATCTGTCGTACATGTAATAAGCAATAATCATAGGCCCTTGCACCTTGTCTGCACAGGCCCTCCGAAACTCGTGTGGTTTCTTGCAACCGAGAAAAATGCAACCTCAACCAGTGTAGCAGCATCAGGGATGGGTGCTTTGTGACTTTACCAGAGCACTCAAGTCCTGGCATCGACAGTGCACCTGCTGAATGTTCTGATACGCTTGGTCCTGCAGGGAACGAGGCTGCAAGTCTTTGCACAAAGTTGCAGTTGCCTTGTCCATTTGAAAGCTCGTAACCAGTGGTGCTGCAGCTCACAGGAAACAGAAACGTGGCTCCAAAATAGATCTAAAGCCTGACAGTTCATATCATTCATGTTGCGCCTCATGTCTCTTTTCTTCCATCATGATAGGCGTGTGTCATGTACACGGCAAAGTCTTACTCGGGTACCGTCCGCTTTGGGAAGGTATATGCGAATGAATTTTACAAGGGCACCGTGCCCCTCGAAACCAGTGGTGGAAGTGCCGCTCCCAGTTCGAATCTGTTACCCGCAACTAATAACAGCATCAGTCTAGGCTCATCCAATCTGCAATACAAGGGTGTATATGCGACGACCCTCTACCAGGGAGGGGCGCCATTGAAGCGTTTGGCAACGAGTGCGTCCGCTTCGGATATAGAACTCGGCACCTATAGCGTCGGTTTCTTTGCAACAAATGTGGTACCTGTGGGAAGCTTCGATCTCGGGAGTTCAGAAGCTCCATGGGAGGCGATCTATTCCAGCACTCTGACGAGTGATACGATTGGCATTGGGGCGTCTGATCCGCTTGCTGCATTGCATGTTGCCAGCGGGGATGCACTGTTTGATAGCAATGTGAGGATCAATGGCAAACTGGATGTGAATGGACCCATCAATTACATAAGTAGCACGGACCTTCTGGTGGAGGACCGAACTATAACTTTAGCCCATTCCGATGCGCCCTCCGATTCGAATGCTGATGGCGCCGGCATTCACGTCATGGGTGATGATTATTCGAGTAGCCCGGACGCCATCTCGTTCACTTGGCAACACTCGAATGGGGGCCTATGGCTGGTCCGAGGTGGTGACGTCGGACTGGAGGCTGGGAGCAATATTGTCAGACTGATTGGGAATGAAGACGGTGGGTTCTCCATCCTGAATCGAGATTCGGGGATCGTGCCCTTTGACATGTCTCTAGTGCCTGCTGGCTCAAATGATCTGGGTGCGGCTTCGAATTTATGGGAGACCCTCTATGTCCGCAGTGGGCGGCTGGGACAGCTGACAACCTCGGGCGGTGCCACGATTGGGGGAAGACTCGACCTCGGAAGTAACTCGGTCGCAAGCACAGGTGACCTCGGCTCATCCGGCGCCCGCTTGGGCAGTGTGTTTGCAACGTCCCTGAATGTGGCTAGCAATGCTTCTTTTTCATCACACGTAGAACCGGGCAGCAATGGAAACTTTGATCTGGGATCCAGTTCGAACACGTGGAGGACGCTCTACGCCGACGGTGCAGAGCTCACCGGAGACTTGAGCGCTGCAGGAGCCACCTTTTCGGGGGACATGACGCTTACCGGAGACCTGACCCTTTCTGGGGACCTGGACCTCGGGAGCAACAGCCTGTCGTGCACGGGCGACCTAGGAACCTCCGAGAATCCCCTTCACGGCCTCTTCACCTCTGTCGCACCATCAAGGACGAGCTGAACGTGGACGAGGGCGGCATCATAACGACGCGGCCCCAGCTGGAGGAGAAGTCCCTATCAAACTCGGACATGCCCGCCAGCTCCGACGAGCTCGGCCCGTCGCGGCCCCACATCTGATCGTTCTTCTGGTCCTCAATCTCCTCCAGCTCCTGCAGCGTCACCAGATCGCCCAAGTTCTCGAAGGCCTTCTGCTCCCTTTGCTGCACCACCGCGATCTGCTCCTCGGGGGAGCCCTGCATGCAGCTCTCGCGGGGCCACGTCCGGGTCAGGTCTTCGGCTTGCGCTTCATTGGCGTCCAAGTCCTCGTCCAAGTCCTCGTCTTCGTTGGGCTCGACGATTGGGGCTGTGGCCATGGCGCACTTAAGGGTGGAGCGAAGCCGCGGGGTGGGAGCCAGTGAGAGCGGCTTGGCCGCACTGCGGGCGGTGATCGGTGGTCGAGACACGACTGAAGCGGGCTCCTGATGTGAAAGAGGTTGTTGGTCAGCAAATATCGCAAGGAATCTAGGTCGGTCAAGAGCAGGTGTAGAATTGTAGAAAATCGCAGCTCGGACTAAGAGCAAGTCTGTCTGAGCCCCAGGGAGAGTCCTGTGAGGCTTAACTCCTTGGAGATTGGCAGAGAAAAGCAGGTTCGACATCGGTGTCATTACAAAGCCCGTTCACGGAGTTGCTTTAAGTTTACGGCTTTGCTAGCATCATTCCAGCGACGCTCGTGGCCAAGAAAAGCCACAGCTCTGACCCTCACCTGCTTCGCCATCTCGAGAGCACGCTTTTTCTTGGCCCGCGCCGCCAATCTGGTGTACTCCATCCCCTGCAGCGAGTGCTTCTTGCAACGCTTGGGGAAGGGGTGGTGCTCCCCGTCAAACTTGTCGGGCAAGCCATAGGAGGGGCGCGTCTGGCACCCCCCCGGGGCCGTGCATGCGGGGCCTTTGGTCCCGCACGTCATCTCAAGGGTGCAGTGCGCCTTACAGCGCATCCGCCGGATCACATGGCTGTTGGGGGCTCGGACGCCGTACGAGGCGATTGTCCGACAGCCCTGGAAGTTGCACCTGCGAGGGAGGTAGAAGAGAATTCAGAAAGGGTGCAAATGGGCAAACCGCGTGTAGGAATGTAGAGGTACTAAGAACGTCTTTTTGGGAAGTGGATCCTGGGACAAGGGTAAATTAAGAAGCAAGGAACATAACTTTAAGTCCTTGCACCTCGACAACTCCAGGGCCTGCCCCAAGGGAGCTCGAGCAATCGTGCAAAACATTCAATTGAGAAGTTCAGCATCGAAGCCTTCAAGACACAACACACCAGCTGCCAGCACCACCACAAGCAGGTATTGTTCCACGCCAGAACTACATTCTTACTCTTCTGTTGCCAAAGAACCCGTTCCAGCCCCTCACCTCGTGCTGATGAGGTCCTCCATGCCCAGCTCCTTGTGTGAGCCGCAGCGCATCGGCCGGGTATTCTTCCGGAAACCATACGAGGGGCGCTTGGTGCAGGAGCCGTCGCCCCCCCAGCACATGGCCCCCCCGAGATCCTTCATACTGGGGAGAGCGTGATTGCGGCAGCGGGTCGGCTTCTTGTCCAGGCCCGGCTCCCTGTACAGCGGCTGTCGCTTGCAGCCTTGATGTTGGCACCTGAAAGAAAAGGGTGGGAAAGATCAGTGCCTTGCCACTTGGTAAAGTACGCAATCTGCAGCGCGGATGTGAAACAGCACTGCGAGAATGCAAACCTGGGCCAGACCTGTGTAGACTAGAGCAATCAATCATGCAGCAAAGCAGACCCCGTCCTGACGGCCCTACCGGCTGCCTTCACTCCCCAGGAAAAAACAAGGGGATCCCCTGGCAGCGTACCCTGGCATCCTGACGTTCTCCATGCCATCCTCTGCGTGCTTCCGACACCGCATGGGGCGCTTGTCCCCCTCAAAGCCATGTGACGGCTGGGCACGGCAGGGCCCTCCCCCTCGGGCGACACTGGAGCACTTCAGGATGCGCAGGTCTTCCATGCCGTCCGTGGCGTGGGCATGGCACCAGCGCGCGCCCACCTTTTTGGTGATAAACCCATATGATGTCCACCGGATGCAGCCGGGGGACCTGCAGCGGTGCGTCGCCCCACCTGTGGATGGGTGGAGGACAGCGCCTCTCTCTGTGGGGTGCAGGGAAAGAAGTCAGGTGCTGCAACGCTGTGTCTTCAGTGCCCAGGCAGCGAATGACGGTTTGCAGTTAAGAATTTTCAACTGAAAGACAAAGGCGTGAAAGGGTAGATAAGAGTAGCCAAGAAATAACGACATTGATGGGCATGGAAACTAGGCAAAAGGTTTCTTACAGAGGCTGCCAGCATAAAAGTTGCAATTGCGTGCAGGGTCTGCAAACTTACAGCAAATATTTGTAGATCCAACACTGTCACTTGGCTCCAATGAGCACTCCTAATCCCAGGCAAAGCAAACAAAAGTTGCAAAATTTGAAAGCTCTCCTACAAACACAACCTTTCCTTACAATCCTTCTGGAACCAAACCTCCAGCAACTTGGGTGTGACCCTCTTGTCCCCTCCGCCCCGCGCGTGCTTTACCGCCTCAAGCGCAGGTGTCGCTGCGGGGCTGCACCTGCTGTTCATGTTGTGCGGGGACCGCGCAGACGGCTCCGGACAAAGTGAATTGCAGATTCAGAAAGCTCGCAGAGGGGACAGTAGTCAATGCAATTCCAGAAGAGCAGCACGAGAGGCAGCTGGTGCCTACAGAGAGATGAGGGGATGCAACATTGGAAGATCACGCTAGGTGGAAGAGATGACCCTGATACGAAATTTCAAGGTCAGCTCCTGACATGGAGCAATAAAGTAAGCCCATCATTTTTGATCCCTGCAAACAGGGAACCTTGTTGGGTCTTTTGCAACATGTGTTACTTTAGGGATGCCCGTATTTCCTGTTCCTGTAGCACACAGTTCCAGTTCCTGAGGTGCTGGTCTGAGGCTGGTCGCCTGTCTTGCCCCCATACAGCGACATCCAGGGGTTTTCTGATCTTATGGTCTGCCTTGATGTGAAATGCCCCGCTTCTTTCTTGAAGCACTGAAAGACTGGGTGGTGTGCGAGAACGCATCTGGAAGTGCAGTCAAGATACTAAAACGCTTGCTAAGCAGAGACCACATTCTAACGAGTGGTCAGATGAGAGCAAGGGCCCATTGTTTTGCATCTCATTTCCTCAACGCTGTGACAAGATAGTGTACAAAGTAGAAGCCTGCTGTGAATACATCCAACGCAGGCTTTGCCTTCTGGGGCCACCTAAAGCATCACATGAAATCAGAATCAAAGAAGGTCTGTCGCATTGTGGCCTCACCTTCAGATTTTTGTGGGTCGAAGAGAACGGTGGTTCCGCCCCAGGTATAGGACCACTGCAGCAGACCAAGTGTAGGCGCACCTGGGTGTAGGAATGGATCTTTCCTTTCCTCTCTTCTGATAATCCCGTGGCATTGGAAGTTGACTGCGCCAGGCTGTAAGCTTAACGTAAAGTTCGAAAGAAAATTCGATCGCAATCAAGTCCTGGCAGATTCTTCTGCTGTAGTAGTCACATGAGCTTCCAAGCAAAGAACAATGATTCCGGGCTTTTCAAACAGCATAGTAGAAGGAGAAGAATGTAATTACGGAGTACGAACGCCCTCTGGCTTCAGTGAGCGTTGCTTAATCGAGGATGTTCCGAGACGGTTGATTACGATTTAACACAGTCTTGGGATCTTAAGTAAGAAATCGGGGATCAGAAAGAGGGTTGAGCACAGCGAGAGACACGGAGGCAACTTCGGCCTGATCCGCTCCCTGAAAGAATCTGAAAGGATCTAGGTCGACGGTCTTCGTGTGTCCATGAGATCGTAGCAATCTTTTGAGATTGCCTACCAGTTGTTAGGCCCAGAACAAAGTTCAAACAATATTTGACCCATGGGTCCATTCGGATGCCGACCAATCGCAGTCTCTCCATGAGTCATTTCCCCTTGCGACCAATCGTGCGCCTCCTGTGGAGTCAGAGAAATCGAATCGTCGCACCATGTGTCGTTTGCTCTCGGCCTATCGCGGCTTTCGAATTCCGGGGCCAGCAAACGAAACAGAATCTTTGGCCGAGCCACGTGGCGAATCTCCGAATTGCTGCCGAATCTGACGCTTAATCAAATACCGTACCTAATACCGACCGTACCGCCACTGTCAATTCGCACAATGCAGGATCTTTCGGGAAAAAGTGAAAGGGTATTGCTGCGAAAGTGAGAAAAGCTCCAGTTTCGATAAAATTGGTAAGTCGGGTTGGTGGCAGGCGGTTACCGCCTTTTCACAGGGGTTATCAACCAAAATGTCACCCAATCTACACCTTATTCACGACACGACTTCGCGCGAAATCTGCATATTCCACACCACTGCCCTTTTTGAGTTGCTTTACTTCTAGCCGAAATGATATTCCCGGCAGTTGGCTTGATAGTCCCTTCAGGACCAGAGTTAGCGCATACATTTCTGTTATTTCTTCCAGAATTGTCGTTAAGTGATCCAACATAAGACCAAATATTCGTGAGTGCTTTTTCTAACTTCCGACGCGAACAATCGACAGCGCTCCCTTTTCGACCTGAAATATAATCTTTTAACATAGTTTCTATGTCATTTATTTATCAGCGTTATATGATACAAAATTATACTTTTTAGAAGCCGCTAGGATTGAAGCGGTAACCACGGTAACCACGATAATCACGCGTAAACATTCCAAGTAGGGCACAGCTCTATGCGCACAATCTGCTAAGTTCAACATTCAACATCTTTGCAATCGTCGTTTATGTCAGCAGCCTTAACATTCAGGCCATGGCTGCTACCGAGGTTGCGCAAGCTAAAGAGCAACTGAAGGCTACCACTGGAAAGCGTGTGCTCTGCGCTTTGGACAACTCGGATAATTCCGCCTTGGCGCTGCAGTTCGTGCTGGATGAGTTGGTCAAGCCGGAAAATGGCGACAAGCTCATTCTCTTTCAGGCGACAAGGGCTGTTGACAGTAAGTCCGAAATTCTCAAAACAGTGGTGATGTCATACCTAAGATTGGTGACTTACTTCATGTGTCTTCTATGAACCTTTGATTTGAGGGGTAAAACGAAAGCTAGGCTTCTCAGGAACTCAACAACCGTAGGCTCTATGGCAAAGCCTCCATGCTTTTTGTTTTCCAAAAGTCTTGCGCCAAAGTCAGGATCTGAAGGGGACCTGTGACATTTCTGGGATCATTCTACCAGCATTTAAAAAATGTCGTAGATATACGATTATTAGAAAACAACCTAGAATCAGCAGGGTCACCCTTCTCTTTCCATACTGGTGTCAGGCCCTGTCCACATGTCACAACAAAGTTGTGCTTGTATATGATAGCTTGTGGACCAACTCCCAGGCAGACCTCTTTGGTACATTGTTGTTCTATTTGCAGTGTACGATGATGCGGAACTAGGTTTTATAGCAGACGACCAAATTGCTGCTGCCCAGGAGCGCCTTGTGCAGCTATGCTTGTCCAACTTGAAGAGTATCAAGGCAGGGATCCAGGTAAGAAGCCAAGTGTCACATTGCAAAAGTCTCTCACTTCCTTGCCCTGTTGTAAGAGAAGTGTAGTGAGAGCAGGTTGCGCTCTGGTATACTTGCAGCAACCCGGTCATACTAGATTTCTAGGGAGTGCTTGTATGCAATGAATTCCAAGCATTAAGAGTCTCTGCTGGTTGAAGAAAGCAACGCGTCTGTAAGCAACACGCAATGGCCACAGAAACAGAAACCTGTTAATCTTGTCGCGATTTCAAGGTCGTCTGAGAAGCCGGCTCATCCTGTGCAGTTGGTCCTTCAACCCTTCAGCATGAGAACGTTGCTTGGATCAGTCCCCCTCCTGTAATGTGGACAGACCAGCCACCAATCTCTCTAGTAGGCAGGAGCGGAATTCCAGCAAGGATCTTCTGCAGAGTTGCTTTTGCAAACTGGGTCTTGATTGGCCCACATTGGTGTGTAATGATTGCTCTGGCCTTTTTCACAGGTAGATGCTGAATTGGTGGCTCTTCCCGGAGATCCCCGGCAGCTGATCCTCGACTACGTCATGCAGCACCCTGTGGACATGGTGGTGGTCGGGACGCGTGGACAGGGCAAGTTCAAAAGGTGGGCGCTTCCTTATGGATGGATGAAGTTCACACTTCCAAGACCCTTCCCTGGTATTCTTACTTGAACATGCTTCTCTCGATACTTGTTGTTCCCCCCCAAAGGTTGATGCTCAATCAATATCCTCTCCTCTGTAAAGTAACCGCTTTGAAAGCTATTGTGTCAATGGCATTTACAACACGATTTTCACGAGGGGAAGAGACGCAAGGGGAAGAGACGCAACGCAGAACAATCTGAGTTGTGTTTTGCTGCTTCTTTCCAGGACATGGCAGCTGTGATTCCGTCCTTTTGAATGCACGCAACTTTACCTTTTCTCCATCTCGAATTATGAATGCAGATTCTGCAGATCCTGGACGCTTTGGCAGATCCTGCACATCTCGAATGCCTTGATATTGTGGCCAGGGCTCAAGAGAAACAACGTTTGACTTTGGCACTTCGAACACTTCGGAACACTCTCGCACAATTCAAGGACTCGATCAGTGCTGACCAGCTCTCAACGTGTTGACAGAAGCAAGGATGAAGCTCTTTTTCGTTGGGGCCCTCCCTGAAACAGCTTCTTTCACATTGTGCCTGATAAGCTCAAAAACGAGGGTGAGGCAATCTTTCATGTGTTTTCTTCTGCTGTCAACTGTCCACCAAAGACCTGAGGAAACCCAATGTTCAAAAATCTTGGGTGTCCCACAAAGGTCGAGCAAGTATGAAAAGCGGGTCAGATCATATGATAGTCGAGCTTGAGGTGGATTCAAACAAGTCTTGAAAGAATCTCAGGAGAGTCTCAACGTCAATTTTCCGTGACTTGCACAAACATTTGTCCGACGATTTCTGCAGTCTGTTCTTGGGCAGTGTGAGCAGTTACCTCGTGAGCCACTGCCCCGTCCCAGTGCTTGTCGTCCCAAACCCCAAGACTGCCGCCACCCTTTTGATGAAGAAGAGTGACATCATCAAGGCATGATCACATGTATGCTTACGTCATCAGCGTCCCAAGTACGTCACTACTGGAAGAGAATGAACTACGTCCAATGATAGTATGGCCAGCTTCAGACGATAACATTTCCTTGTAACGTAGTTGTCGAAGATGTATGTACAATGAGCCACTTGGGGACTCGTAATCCGTGTATTTTGAACGCAGACATTGGAATTGGAGAGGGTCCATCAAACAGTAGAGGAGTATACATATGAAGAAAGTGTTGCTGGAGGAAGTCGGCCAGAAGAAATTGTCAGCGACTTGGAAGTAGCTGTCAGGTTGAGGCAGGCAGGATTCGGGGACGTTTAGGAGCTGCTTCAACTGTCGTCGAGCTTGATATTATGCTTGTTGTCCTCACACTGCAAGTCACGCTTCATAATATATTCCGTCAGCAATTTAGTCACCTGGGTCCGGGCCAACCTGGATGCTGGAGGCACGCCTAAAAAGCTGCTCAGTTCAGGGGAGATGCGACTCGGCCGAGCAAAGCCACTTGGGTCACGCGTTGCTTTCTGCACCGGAGCAGTCTGATCACCCCGTGAGCCTGCAGTAATTGCATTGCACGCTGGGTCTTGTTCACGGACCTCTGCAATTTGGCAACAGCCTTGAGGATCTCGGCCCCTGATTCATTCGACGTATTCTCCACCTTTGGAACCGGTGCAACGGAGTCACTTGTCTGTACGACGGCAGTAGTTGCGATGGCCGCATTGGTCGCCTCCGTGGTCTCAGGCCTCTGTGGCCTCCTCGATGCGGCTCTGGGTGCCATGCTGTCAATGCTGTCCTGTCCTGGAAGTTTCTAGGGGAGCAAACGAAAGCACGCGACGATGCCCGTTATATTTCATTTGCACCCGTATACCATGGATGAGACGGCACACAAACTCGTGGTAATCCCGGAGCAGTCTGATGGCATTAACAAGAGGGGCCAAAAGTCCCCAAGGGCGAGAACCTGCAATCTGCAGTGACCACCGAGGCAAACACTGCCCAAACGCCAGACGGGCGAAGGGGTGATACAGCTCGACCTCAAGCCCCCGGCAAGAAGCTTTTAAAGAAATGCCCAAGTACCCCAAAGGCTGCCCCACGTTCACCACCCCCTAGGCAGCGATCCTATGCTTCCAAGATGTAAAGATCGGACGAAGGGTTCCTGCCCCCAAGGTACCATCGCGGCAAGCCCCTCTTTTGATGTCAGCGGCCTTGCAAACCCTCATAGGATGCGGCGCTCTTTCCGAGACCCATCTCCATCCCGGCAGCAATCCAGGCGATCACACTCTAGGTCTCGCTTCTCGGTCCGTCCAGATTCCAAATCATATGCCACGTGACCACCTAGACAACGAAAAGAGCGCCCCCGAGGTCAAGCCGAGCCCAGGCTTCTCCTCCATCCGTGAAATAAGCTCTACATCCTGTTGACCCTCAAACGCATGAAGGGTGACGGGTTCGAGAACATCTCCGACTTCACGACCGACAGCGACTTCGAGGAGATGCGCCTCGAGCTCAAGTCCTGACAGGCAACCTGGTCGTATTCACCCAACTCCGTGCAAAAAAGCGATATCTATCTTACGTTCGAGTTGGTCGCCATCGACGACTTGATGGTCATTGAAGCCGAGTGGCACGCGGAGGATAACTGTGTGGAAATTGGCAGACTTGGACCTACGCTCGATTCCGAGGAGGTCAACGAGCAGTCACGTACGGACGAGCCGACCGGCATCGCAAAGAACGTCGAGCAGCACACTGAAGATGCTTCTCCGATGGACGTCTAAGGCCCCCCCATGTACCGGCTATTCGGTGGCACATGCGGAGAAGCAGGTCAGGCGGTTCATTAACGAGCATTGCACTGTCGGTCCATCAGAGCAGATGACATTTAAGGACTTTCGAACGCGCCTTTTGGCCACCTGTGGCAAGAGCCAGGGAGTAATGCTCGGCCAAAGGCTGGTTGGACAGATTATGCATACAGTCGGCTTCAAGGTGTGGGAATTGGAGCTTGAATTCAAGCGATGCAGGGGCTTTGGGGGGCATCTCGCTGAAGCCTCTTGCAGAGTAGTAAACCCATTGCATGTAAAGATGTTGTCAGATATTATAGTTGACGGCCCCGAAAGATACACAGAGCAGATCGGATTTCAAAGCCGTTGCTATAAGACATATGACACAATTGCTGAGGCCGCAGAAAATAACGACTTGTCATGGCACCGGGTTTACCGTGATGCGACCAAGGCACCAAATCCACCGGTTGCCGCTTGGAGTTTGTACAGCGGATTACACAACATACAGAACGATAACGTCAAATGGGAAGGCAAAGCCGTTGCTATAGGAGATAACTCGTCATCCCAGCTTTAAAATACTTTTGGGAATAGGAGTCTTATTCTACCTTTCTGAAGTTTGATCGGTTCAGAGCCCTTCGAGTGAAAGGGTTTGTTGCCTGCGCACTCAATGCCTGTATGCCATCCTTCAGAAATGCCCGCACTGCTTTCCCATTCCTCACTCGCTTTCTATGTATATATACTTCGGTGTGTATGCCGGTCGCCGATTCAATGGCAATAAATCTGCATTGATGAACTCTGTGTTGTTGGGTATGGTATTAAGACGCCCGTTGCGCACTCTTGCCATGTTGATGCGCCTGGGCAGATCGCTTTGGACCACAGTCATGCTCGTGATAGCATTAGCGTTGTAGAAGAAGCCAACGCTGGTACCTCAATCAAAGTATTCCCTTCTTCGAGAAGCACGCGTTGTTGAGAATCCGTTCGTATCATTGCAAAGTGACCAGGTTCAGTCGCACGGAACGTCGTCGCCGTGCCATCAATCATCTCCAGACGAAACGCCTGGCCTGTGCAGTCTGCTCTCGTTCCAGCATGAGGGCTATGCTAGGTGCATCAGCCATCTGCCCATCGCTGGGGATGGCGAGACGAGCAGCCTTCCGCATCCAGAGCTTCAGCTTCCTGCTCGTAAAGCTATTTGGAAATGTAGATGTTTCTTTCTTGCCGATCCTGAGACGTTGACGCGGCAGAGGCTCGGCCGTATCTCTGGCAGATCCTTGAACACGCCTTCCGACCGCGACCTCTCATCCACCTACTTGCATGAGCTGGAAGTAGAGCGAGCTCCTTAAATACTCCTTGTGCGTTTCACAACGCTTCGCAATGTCCGCGTTGTGGCCCACCTTGCAAATACGCTGAGTTCGCTCTCCGTTGCCTTGAATCTCACCGATGTAGAGGACATTCTTCCTGTGAAACGCCATCAGAAGGGCTTCCTCGCGGTTGAATGCAGACGGAGGGTTTCTGGTGAGATCCACATACGGGTCGCGGATCGCCCCGAAGAAAGCTCTGACGGTGTTGCCCACCTTCGTACGTGCCGCCATCGCAAAGTTCTCGAAGGCATCCGATGTCATGTAGTACTTGTCAGGGCTCCATCCTCTCAGTGTACCCGTCTCCTCATCTCTGTGGGCCTGGCCAGATATGAGTGTGTAATCCGTGTCAAGCACGACTTAGCCTTCAGCGTACGTAGAGCACTGTCCTTTCGGCCATACTGCAGCCCCAAGCGTCATCAAAATCAATTGGGACCTTCTGACCCCTGTCATTAAACGCCTTAACAAACACCTTCCCGAGGTCCTGCCAGCCCTCCAACTGGCTCGCCTGGACGCTGGGGTGTGCACACACGCGGCTAATGAGAGCTGTCTTCATCTCCGATTGAAAGTGCTCCTCTGGCCCCACAACGTTGCCCTAAGTACGTTTGCGGCTGTGGCACCTCATGGCGATGTGGCACCTCTTGGCGACAGCCGTTTGAGTAACGGCTCGTGTTGGCGGCTCTGTTGGCAGGGTCGATTTCTAAGATGGAAACTCCAGGCCGTTGCTTTAAAATCCAACTGTCATCTGCGTATCTGCACACGGATCTAATTTCAAGTTCGAGGCATTTTTTGAGTTTACGACCCGAGCGATAAACTAGGCTAATGGGGGATTCTTCAATTGTCTTCAAGGGACCAACTCTCGATAATATCAAGTCTATGAAGTACCTTTGGGAATCCAACTGCCATCTGTGTATATGTGCAAGACTTACATGTCATGCAAAGCAGGGATTTTTTCGTTCTTCATCGAGTTTGCCCAGGGTATGTTATGAGTGACAGCTCTGAACGATACACAGAGCAGATGAGAAGTCAAGCTGTTGCTATATGAGATAACTAGACACCTGGAGTTTGAAATACTTTCGGCAAAGTGGCTGTCATCTGTGTATCTGCGCAAGACTCATGCAAGCAACCACCAAGTTTGTCAACAAGTCGGTTCGAGGCTATTGGCAGCATTGTTGAAAGGCATTGACAATAAACGCGACATGCGTACAACAAATCTTTGTTTTCAATTGCAATAGTAGTAGGATGGCTGCTTCAATTGCCTTTGGTTGTGGAAAACCTGGCACAAACCAAGGGAGTTGGGCTGGGGCTTTTGATCATGTCGAAGCAGGGGGGAACATAAGAGTCACGGCGGTTTTTCAAGATCACATGGATTTCATACGTCACCCAAAGTCTTTCGTTGAGGGTCTTCGAGCATACAAAGATTACTTCAACGACAAAGGCTGGATCCCGATGACACCTGATGATATCACAGATACCTCATGCGTTACTGTTGCAGAGAGTACTGCGTCTTATAAGGAAATGATAAACGCTGTCCCTGCTAATATCCTGGCTTAGACCTCCGCAACTGTCAGCTTCCCCATTCACACGCATTGGTGTTGGAGGCTTCCGTGCGTACTCCAGCCACACCCAAGCACCAATCAAAGGTGCTGATAGTCCGACCTCCAAACTCATCTTTCAGCTGACAAAACTCCCTCCCCTGCACGTGGTATGCAATTGGAAATATCCCGTATGGGATGACATGATACACTGTCCTTGAGAGAACATTGTCTTGAGAGAACATTGGAGTTGACAGCTACAACGAAGTCAAGTCCTGCGCAGATACAACGATAACACATATGTTTCCAAAAGTATTTCAAACTTGGAATGTCGTGTTAGCTCATATGGGAGCGGCCTGAAAAACCATGTGTGCTCTGTGTTTCGTGTGGCGCAATCTGCTATTAAGTTTACTATACACTACTTATGCTACCGTGGATTGCAGTTCACGTTCGGAGTCACTTTCCTTATCTGCTCGGACTTTTGTGCGATTAAAAACGCAGGGTCTTGACTTATCTATGCTTAGCAAAAACGGGCTCCTTCTTGTAAGCTTCCTGAAACTCAACCAAGTCCCTCTGGAGGTCTCTCGTCGAGAAGATTGCTGTGGCCCCAGCTGCACAGCAAGTCCTGTGGCGACTCCAATCCGCCTTCTGGCACTCCCTGCTACAGTAAGAAGCACGCAGACACTTGCCGCAGCTGTGCCTCTTCGACTTATCGCATGGAGGATTTTGGCAGATCGGCGAAGCAGATCCTCGAGCGTCCTCTGTAACTCTTCTGGATAAGGTCACGATGCACCTATCCACCAAACCTTCAACCGCTTCCTTTGTCGTGGGAAGGCTCCTCTGCTCCCAAAAACGCTCTACAACTTCAGCCCCAGGCTTCTTTCCATCCGAGATCACTAGTAGCTCGTCTACAAGGGGCTCACAATCACAAGGGACATTGATGCTACATGGAAATCCCGCCTGCTTGCGGACTGCCCAGCACACTTTGCCCTTTTGGCAATGATTCTTGGAAGCTCCTGATAGTCACACGTTCCATCCTGCATGAGCTGCTCGCAAGAGTCCATAAAGTAAAGCAAGGTTTCTAATTTGTTCCCTTGTTCAAATTTCAACAGCGTCACATGCGACAATTCTGAGTTGGCGCCCTGGAGGGCTTTTAAGAAAACCTCCTGAAGTATCATCGTTTCCTTCCTTTTCTTTTGCGTCGGTATACTGTGATGCGGACTCTTCCACCTGCAGCATGATGTAGCTGCCAGCTGGGTGAAGAACGCAGAGATAGCAACGGGCGAGCTTGCTGGAAAGCCTGAGGTGCCGCAGCAGGTGGGCAATCTCTATGACGTCAGCCACAAGACGCTTCTCCCGCCAACCCACCCCATGCACTAAGGCAGTATTCCGTAGCTGCATGTACTGTTGCGCGCCTTCCAAAATCCCATCCCCGAGCTGGAGAAGGCGCCCTTTTGTTCGGCTCGCTTGCTTCGTGTCCCGAATTCAATGCTTTCTCTCTTATTTGTCCCAGACCGGTACCCGCCTTGAATGTTATTCACGTGAACGCGAGCTCCTTTAAGCAAATTGTGACCGTCGATAATATTCGTGATCGTGATCTGGTCCGAACTGCAAGGTAACATACATGTGTGAGGTTGGCTTCCTCAGGTGCCGAAAAGGACGCACTTTCTGCTCCACAGCAACAGTAGAACCCGATTGGTGTTCTTTTCATGGCGGCGGAGTTAGTTCAAGACGCGCTACTGCTTCTTAAGCTGCGGGAACAGCATTTGTCCATCACTTTGATATTAGCATTTGGGGGAAATGCTCAGATTTGAAATTGCGTTCCATTTGGTCCTAGGCTTTGAGCCCTCTTGTTCCTCACTGACACCAGGACGTTTTCTTTCGGGTCGGTTGTATGGATTTTGGGTTCGCCGGGGAGGCGCTCCACCTTCCCCAGATTGTCCGAGGAGGTGCCTAGCAGATATGTAGTCCCACTTCGGAGGCTGCTGTAGTCCAATACCATGGCAAAGACCTCGTTGAAAAAGCATTCTTCCAGAACCTTGAAACTGCAGAGCAGGCCATCATCAAGCGGCCCTGCCCCCTGGAAACATTCCTGGAGCATCCTAAGGAGAGCGGAAGACCGAGGGCTGTATTTGAGCATTACCTGCCAAAGACCTCTCCCATATTAGACCTCATCCAGCCTTTCTCTGTTGGTAAGGATGTGCTGCCTGATCTCCTCGAGGATCCCACGCACTCCTCTCTCAGTATTGTAGCATCTGATGAGGGTTTCTACACTCGGGCCCATGTCGACTTTGCTGGTACTCTGGGTTGGATGGCACTCGTCAGAGGTCAGAAGGTGTGGAGCTTCTGGAATCCTCACGGACCGTCAAAGAGGGCTTTCTTGGCAGGGCTCAAAAGTGGCAAAGGTATGCCGGAACCTGACATCACTTTTGTAGCAAACGGGGGGGACCTGGTTTTCATACCTGCTGGGTGTGGACATGCTGTAAGCACCACCAAACACTCCTTTGGATTCGGAGGTTCCCTCTTTGTTTCAGAGCAAAGTTTGGTGGGGTTGGGTGCGTCGCTTAGAGCTGATGTGCAAGCTCAAGGCTTGTCCTCGAGCGATGCGAGGGTGGAGATTGGTCGGCAGCGTAGGGGCATAGCAGAGGTTCTGGGTGTCAGCCTGCGGCAGCTTTCACAACGGGAGGCAGTCGTGGTCTCAGAGGCAGTGGCCGCGGGTAAGAGCAGCTCAGCAACAGAGGCGAGCAGGCCATATCAGCTCCTGCATGCACCTAGAAAAGGGAGGGGGAAGAGGAAGCAGAAGGCCTCATTTTCTTTGCACAAACGCTCAAAGAGAGATGAGTCCTGCACGCACCCGGAACATGTTCCGGGAAAGAGCAGGCTGCTGAAGAGGCGGGGTATTCCAGGACCGTTGGTACGGGAAGGAGGTGCTCATGTGCGACCCATGCTACCGGATGTTCAAGGGTCATGAGAAGCTTCACTGCTGAAGGATGTAGGTGAGGCTTTGTCTCATACATTGTGAAAGTCTGTGCTGACGGGCCGAGAATTCAATATACATTCGACAAATTGCCCGGGAAGGTGTATTAGAGTTTGAGGTGACAATTGATGTTTGGTGGAGCGAAGTGCCGTGGAGTGTCGCGGCAGGCCACAACCTGCCACGAACTTGCCAGGGTGCGCCACAGATCACGCCACAGCTCGCCATCAGCAACCCTTACTTAAGGCTTTCTTCTTTCTCCAGAATCCTCATTCCAAGAGATGGCTGCGACGATCCTCGTGCTCGGGAACACACCTCCAGACGGCCTCCACCAGCAGCACCGCCACCTCTACTTCCGGAACGAGCCGGAGCGGGAGCCCTTCCGAGCGCTGGACCCGAACGCTCCTATCGCCAGCACCTTCCAGAGGTGGTGGGCGGCGCAACGGGCACTTAGGGACTTGCGGGAGACGCGGGAGAGGGCGGCAGCACCGGGGCAGAGAGGTGAGTCCCGTCCCCTTCCTTTCAGATTTCGATTGGGGTGGGCTTACATACATACATATCAGCAACGGCCAGGGGGCTTCGGAACTCTCGTACTGTAATTTGTTATAAAGTTTTTCTTCTGGACAGAGGAAAATTTTTATAACAAATAAGCAGTGCGAGGGTTCTCCTTTGGGACCTTTATGGGAATATGTATGTAACTAAGACCATACCGGAAAAGAGACCAAATATTATATTCGACTTTTCAGAAGAAAAATATAACAAATAAGCAGTAGGGAGTTTCCCCCTTGGGCCTCGAGTACGAATATGTATGTAGTAAGGCCACACCGGGCAAAAAGTCACGAGATATTATATTCGACTTTTCAGAAGAAAAATATAACAAATAAGCAGTAGGGAGTTTCCCCCTTGGGCCTCAGTTGGGAATATGTATGTAGTAAGGCCATACCGGTAAGTTTCCCGGGGCTCAAAGGTCCTTTGCGCTCGAGGTCCTCTTCAGGCGGGCCCGCGTGAAAGCGACCCTGAGGTTCTCAAAGTTGAACGGCTTCTGGAGAAACGCATCCATGCCGCTCTCCCCCATGCGTTCGTCCATGTCGTCTCTCTTTACTGCGCTCACTCCGATGATCATGAGGGAGTTGTACCTCAGCTGCCGCAGCTTCTTGGTCAGCTCGAGGCCGTTCATCTGGGGCATGATGATGTCCGTGATGACGGCCGAAAAGGCCCTCGTGGATAGCAAGGTGACCACTTCACCAAAGGTGCTGCAAGGGACGACCGTGACACCCTCCTTCTCCAGCAGTCTGGAGCACACCTTGAGATTCACTGGGTCGTCGTCGATCACCACGACGTGCATGCCCCACAGGCTGGGCTCGAATCGGAAATAGGGGAGCTGGAGTAATTCTTGGGCAGAGGGCCGGTCGGCTGCTCTCAGGAATGTCTTTCTTATGATGTCGCGGAGGCCGCTGTTCTGCACCTGGGCGAGAGCAGTGGGCGGCTGGAAGTGGGTGACCTTGTCGAAGAGGCTCGCGAACGTGCTGCACTCCTTGTAGGGCTGCACCCTGGTGGCTGCCTCCAGCATGACCATTCCGAAACCGTAGACGTCCACCCTCTCGTCCGTCGGGCCGAGGACGCATTCGGGGGCCATGATCCGAATCTGCTCCACCTTCTCTCTCGCGTGCCCGTGGGAGGTGAATATGAACGAGACGCTGAGCAGGTCGAGCTTGATGATTCCCACGTCCTGATGGATGAGCACGTTCCCCATGCGCAGGTTCCGGATCAGGAGGGGGCCGTTGAGGCTGTGAACGTAGGAGATGGCCGTCAGCAGGTCGAATCCCCACCTTCTCAAGACGATCTCGTCCATCTAGCCGGCAGCTTTCAGGAGGTCTTGGAGATTGCCGGGTCAGTGACCACGTGCATCTTTCCTGCGTCGGTGTCCAAAAACCAGTCGTGGATGCACACTATATGGTCGTGCTCCACACGTTGAATGAGCTGGAGCGTCCGCACCAGCTGGTCCGTGCACTCACCTGACTTCAGGTCTATCACCGACCAAGCGATCGCCACCCCCTGCTTGTGATCGAAGCCAGAGTAGACTGTCTTAAATTCGCTCGACCCCAAAATTTCGTCGCTCTTGCTATAGTGTTGCATGGCGTGCGCTGTGATGGATGATCATTTTTTCGGGCATGTAGGTACGGAATGGACTCGGAGTTCCCGACTACATAGGACCTCAGCCCTCCACAGCAGCTGCTCGAACTGGAGATGGCACAGGCTCTCTGGGAGGCTATGCAAGAAGCACGCAAAGAGAGGATCATGACGTGCATTGCGGTCGAGCGAATGATTACTGCAGAGGTCAGTGAGATCTCTGCGGACCCGACGGCGATGGGGCTGCGGGCCGAGGAGGTGCCTTCGAATCAGAGAGAAAAGGTCGCGATGGAGAATCTGGTGTTGCAGAAGATCCTGAAGAAGCGGCGCGTCAGAGGGGGCTATGTCGGTTGGCGAAATTGGCGAAGCATGAAGAACGACTTCTTGGGTCGTTACGGTGCGGCCAGCGACGTAGTCGGAGAAGAGTATGAGTAGTCAGCTGTTATAGCAAGTGGTAGCAAGACTGGGATCGCATGTTGTAGACTTCAATTCTGTTGTCGCACAAGTCGCAGATGCCCACCGTTGTGACCAACGGCTCCGTCACCCAATCTTCCTCTCGTTTGTGCTTGTTGCGAGCTGCAATCGTCTTTCTGACGATCACGTCTTCGTCGGGGCCATATCCCTTGAACGTCATGCGTCTCATTCCGTTCCCGTCGACGACGTCCGTTGTCACCTTGACACAAAAGCGGCCAACATGGCGCTGCTGCCTGGGGATGGTTGGAGGGGAGATGGTGCTATTGTGCAGTGCAAAGACCTTTTGTGAGTAGGCTGCCGTCGCCATTTAAGAATGCTGAGAAAAGTAGTTCTCCTTCCTTCCACTAACGCAACACTTAGGGGAACGAGCATTGCAGAAATCTTAGGATCAAATGGATGCTGTCAGCCTGCTCTTTTCGGGCCTGGCTGACGTATTCGCAGCGCCAGCTATCTTCCTGCTGTCATACAATTATGTAGAACCCAAGATGTTCCACTTTGGTCGCATAGACTATTGGGACGCTTTCGTATTCCTTTGGGGAGCTTGCGCCGTTTCGGGAGGGCCCACCATCATCACAGTGTTCAAGCAAGTGCAAGTGAACCGCATCTTAGGGTTCACTTAGGCCATAAGGAGTCGGACGCTGCCGGTGTAAGATAATGGTTGGTGGCTTCTTCGTGCGGCCCAGTGACGTTCTACATTTAGCTTACTGATTAGTAGGCAACTGCATGGCTATCCATCACGAGTGCAGAGAGGACATGCTTCGAGTGATCATAGAGCCAGGCTGGAAGTTGGCAGAAATGGGAGTGTTTCTGGGTGATTTTTCTGCGTTCATGCTGTCACTGGAGCCCTCGGAATTGCACCTCATAGATCCATTCGAGGGACAGCTAATGAGCGGTGATCGTGATGGGAATTCTATCCGCACATGTCCCGGGGACGCTGCATTTGATTACGTACGGGGGCGCTTCGAAGATGACGACCGGGTTTTCATTCACAGGACATGGTCCCCGCAAGAGATCTTGCAATTCTACATGGGGTATTTCGATCTAATCTATATCGACGGGAACCATACATACGAAGGTGCCAAGCGGGATCTTGCAGCAGCACTGACGAGGGTTAAAGTGGGGGGATACATATGTGGACACGATTACGGGTCGAATCCAAAGAAGTGTTCTTTCGAATATACATTTGGCGTGCAACGAGCAGTGGACGAGTTCTGTGCGGAGAACGGTCTGGAGGTGTCGCACATTGCAGAGGACGGATACATGAGTTTTGCCATCCAACTTGAGAGAAGCTGATTCTTCGCGTCCCATTTGTGAAGAATTCCGACCAGCCACAGTCTGGGCACACGAGGTCACAAACGTGGCTTCAGAGGAAAAGGCCCTGTGCTTTCGTTCTTGCAATGAGTAGAAAAAAGCAATATCAGTCAGCACATGGGATGAAGATTCAGATGTGAAGCCAGGCGGTAAGAATGTGAATGTTGTAGACGATAGCACCACACGAAACACAGAACACACGGGGATTCCAGGCCGTCTCCTTATGAAGCTAACACGACATCTCAAGTTTGAAATAGTTTTGGTAAATCGGTTGTTATCCGTGTATCTGCGCGGGGAGATGAGCAGCTGCCTTAGGGCAAGTTTTGCGTCCAGGTGCGTTTGAAACCTCGTCACTTAGGGGATTGGCAAGGAGAGGTTTAAGTCAATAGATGGATCTCAACATTCTATTTGTGGGACCAGACAAAGCACCGTACTTCAGGGCAAATGATGTTGCACTGCTTCTTGGATACACGCAACCTGCTGCTGCCATCCATAAAATATTTAAGAACGGTCATGGTTGCACAACATATAAGGCTCTGATATCACTCGGGCAAGAAGCCACGCTTGATTACAATACTTTGCACACGAGGTACATCAACGAAGAGGGTGTTTACATGCTTGTGTCTCGCCTTCCCTTCCGCCATCTGCAAGGAACCATTTTAGAATCAAAGTTAGAAGATTCTAAAAGGCATCAAACGGAAGCGTGGCAGAAGTATCTAACAGGTCTGGCGGATTGTAAGAAGGAAGGTGTGAAGCAACGCCGTGAAGAAGTTGTGCGTGATCGCTTAGCAGCTTCAATACCCGGGTCACAGATCGAAGTAAAGTGTGAAACGGGTTTTGTAGATATAGTGACCCCTGATCATATAATTGAGGTCAAGAAGGTTGAGGGTTTCAAGGAAGCCATAGGCCAGGTCATGGTATATGGATTGTCTTTCCCAGAAAAGACAATGCGTATACATGTATACAGTTACAAGTCTGACCCTAAACCCACGTTGTTGGAGAAGGTAGAGCGTGTTTGCAGAAATCTAGGCATACTCTTTACGATTGAGACAATCTGACGCGTTTGTGTTAATCCTATTCAGAAGCTAAGATGTCTTCCCCCCTGCGTTTACACCCTGGTCGAGTACGTCGACAAAAGCAACACTAGGGACACCTGCCCCAATCCCGCTTTTACGCCTCTCTTGTACCACCTGGGCTACATGCACAGCGACATGTCCCTGCTGCGGCACGGAGCTCAGGAGACGATCGTGCAGCAACCCTCAAGCTATTCGGAGGGGCGCGGTCTTGAGTTGATTCGTATCATGGGCTTATAACTTTGGTTGGTGCTATGCGAGCGACGTTGAGGCGTGTTGCCAGCAAGAGCAGGCCGACGAGCGCTGCCGAAATCACTTATTTGCGAAACTGACATTGAGGCCGGCGCGCGCGTAACTACCGACCGCCGTAACGCGCGCGTACGCGCATAGGTGCTACGATCTTTCAGTTTGACGTGCGTGACCTGGTGTTCGTGCGTGGATTGGCATGATGTGGCAGGTCGTGGCGGCCTAGGTCGATCGGCGGCCAATCGACGCCACGTTTCCTAAAATGTTTGAGAGGCAGTAGAGCAGGCTCGAAAACGTAAAACCCAATCGTTGTTATCGAAGACCCTTTGCCAACGATATGGAGTCTTGCAACAGTGCCTCAGGTCCCGAATTTGAATCGTACTTGCCTTCAGGCAGATTTTCAAGCCCGCCCGCCCCCACTGTGCTTTCGGTGCTGGATTACAAACCCATCTTCAAGAAGGACGCCGGTGTGAAATGCGCGAGGGATGGCTGCAACGGAAGGTGAATTTGCAATCCGGGTTGCTTGTCGGAGGCACGTGAGTGTAGTGGTGAAGTTGCGAAGCTCTTACTAGTCGTGAGGTGTGCAGCTCGTCACACATAGTGTGTCAGCTCTCCAAGCGCAGATTATGTGCTGAAGCGGGGTGGTGAATGTGTGCAGCTACCTGCCGGAGACAAAATGGTTTCATGAGCTCGTCTGCTCCAGCGTGAGCTGCGAGCACAGCTTTGATGTCTGTGGACGGAAGGTGGGGTGCACTTGGTCTGGACCTCGCGAGGAGCTGGCAAAGCATGACTGCTGCATGAAGAAGCCAGAGGAGGTGTACCGGCTGGCGGTGATGCTAGGCTTTATGATCAACCGCATGGCGAATCCCCCTGATGGGCTGCCTGCTGTCTATGTTCACAGCTCGTATGACGACACTTTTGAAGCCTCCGTGACCACACAGTCTTACGGGACAGCACTAGTGACTACGACAGAGAGCGTACAGGTACAAAAATGAAGGCTTAGGTGATGCACGATGAAGGACTTGTATGGTCAGGTAGTTTACGAACAGGAGGTCTGCTCGTTATTACCAGTTTCCTCGAAAGTGTCGCTTGTGGTGTGTAACGCTTGAAGACCTGGAAAGTGCGTTCAAATCCCCCTCAAAATTGTCAGGGGGTACTGTATGTTCTAATTATGAGAATCACTTGTTACCGACTGGAAGAGTGGCTAGTGCTGTCCTAAGCGTGCCCCGTCAACATACGGTATGAGACCTCCATCAAAAGGCCCATCTTTGAGCTTCCCTGAAGCGCGATTGCACTCTGTGCAATGTACCAGCGTCGCTTGGATTTGGGTTGGAGGTCTACGGCATGGCATAGGAGTATTAGTACTTGTCCACAAAAAGGAACAGTATTCTTCAGTACCCAGTTACTCTGGTCAGGCTCTGCCTACCAAGGACGCTGGGCGACTGAGGGATAGCCAGTTAACTCTGGTATTATTGCTATTTATCACCTTTTCATGTTACCCCCGTGACATAACAGGGGCGACACTTTGGGCGAAAATGGTAATAAACTCCAGGAGAAGAGATGTACCTCTGATATAGCCTTGGATTCACCTCAGCCCAAGGTGTAAAGCGCTCGACAGATTTGAAGTCAACGAGGAGGCCTAGGATCAGCAGAGCAATGAGGCAGTACCAGACAAACATCCCCGTATGTACTGTGTAAATAAAAAGAAGACTGGCTCGGTTGGTTTCGTTGATTATTTTCCATTCTCCATGGTAACTGCTATGAATGCGTTTCTGATCTGTGTCTTGCTTCTCGGGGTCACATGCTCCGTGTCCTCTGCAAGCTTGGCAAGGAGGTCGCTGCTGTGCATGAATCACACGTGCCACAACATGACGCAAACTCCAACACCCACACCGGAAGTTCTTCCGGTCTCATCGAATAGCCCTCCTCCTCCAACGGCAACAGAGACGGTCACGCCAGCTCCGACAGATCCACCACCTCCTCCGCCCTTGACTTTACCTCCAAGCCCCCCTCCAACCGAAACACCCAGTCCGCCTCCACCTCCGACCGACCCCCCACCTCCGCCTCCCACTGAGACGCCGACTCCACCACCCACAGAAGCGCCAACCCCGATTCCGACTGAGACCCAGACCCCGACTCCGACCCCAGAAGCTCCCTGTGATGAACCAGCACCGGCCCCGCTCGCTCCGGCACCTCAGATCGCACCCGCCCCCGAACCCGTTCCCATTGCGCCTCAGCCAGTTGCTCCTTCACGCACAGATGTACCCTCACCGCCTCCTGACGTATTGCCGATCGACGTTCCGGTGGCTCCTGGTCCGGCTTCTGTGCCCTGCGATACCGACCCCCCAAGCACGCCGCAGCCAACCATGATCTCACCGGCTCCCGCTCCCTTCCCCACAGAAGACCCCCTGCAATTCTGCTACAATTCTTACGAATTGAAGACCTGTACTTGCAAGTGTGACTAGTTGCAAGTGCGAGTAGGCGTACGAGCTCAACAAAACCTTGTGTCAATACTACCGGAAGCATGTCGCTCAACCAAGCACAAGTCCTAGCAAAGATCAACGACTTTCGCAGGCGGCATGGTGCCCCAGCAGTTACATGGGATGATCAGCTCGCGAGAGCGGCGCAGGAGTGGGCCAACTGGAAGGTGTTCGTCCACTCGACCGACCGGCAGTATGGCGAGAATCTGGCGAAGACTTGGTCTTTCGAAGCCGACATGTGCAATGCTATCGACATGTGGGCAAAGGAGGATGGATCTATATGATTACAACCGACTGGATTCAACAACGCGACTGGACATGGAACAGCCATCGCCTGGAAAAGTACGAAGAAAGTTGGTGCGGGAGTGGCCCGTATGGATAATGGCGCATTTTTGTATGTTTTGAAATTATATCCGCCCGGCAACATCAATGATGCAAACGCGTTCAGACAGAATGTATCGAGGCAATGAAAGGGTGACCGAATCCTTGAAGTGAACGGAGTTCAAGTGAATGGCGTCCCCTTCGCCTTTCGAGCCCCGACTTCGCCGAAACAAAACTCTCCGAACGCCCGCTGGTCGTTGCAGACGGTGGTCACGGGCGTCTGATAGAACTGCCTCTGCGCATTGGCATTCTCGTAGATGTCCGTCTGGTCTCTGTACAGCCCTTGATAAAACTGCGCATCGATCTCGTCCCGCACGTCGGCCGGGTCGCAGCCGGAGGGCCTGTCCGGTCTCTCCTCGTACTCGTTCATAAGAAAGTTGCCCATGGGGTTTTGCGCCGTCGGGCCCTGACAAACAGACCGCAGAGTCCACGAAAACAGGCGGCACGTCCTCGGGCTCCCGTTGGTACTTGACGTACATGAATATGCCGGCACACACGACCAATCCGAGCAGGAACGGATCGATCGCGTACGCCAGCACGCAAGTGACCACGTACGCAATGAATCTGGCTGAAGAATTGATCTGCGCGGCATAACTCCCGCCCGAAAAGGGGGCGATATCGAACGCCTTGCCGCCGCGGAAGAGGACTCCCGGGTCTTGGAAGAAAACGGGTTCAGAAGCCATGAAACCCTTGTACTACAAGCGCTGCAATTATTTGTCTCGAGGAACTGCGGCTCGCCCCTCAATTCGCCAGCCGGGATGCGGTCAGCTGGGGCTTCGGAGGCTTCCTACGCTGGCCTCGCATCAACCCAGGCACCGCCGTTATGTCTATGCTTCCGTCTGGGTTGATCATGGACGGCAGACGGCTCACGATATCTGGCGTGGCGCTGGCGCTGAGAAGGTTGGACAGCACGTTGCTACCACCCGTACCCCCTCCGATCACCTTCTGCATCACGCTCGGATCCACGAGCTGTGCCGCGTCCTGTACCAGGGCCTGCAGTGCGGGCACGTTCGCGGTCCGTGTGAGCATGGCGACCCCCCGCACCATGTTCGGATCATCCTGTAAGGCCTGAACGGACGCGATCAAGGCGGGGACGCTACCCACGTCCAGCTTTTCGACGGCGTCGGAGAGGAGACGGACTAGCATCCCGGAATCGACGCATCGGAAGGCCCTTCTGAGCACCCTCACAACCCCTTTCATGGACTCGGACCTCAGGAAATTGCGGGCCGTCTCCATGGCACGGTCCTCGGTCGCCGTTTGAAGGCTCTTGAGATGCGGCAGGAGGTCCTTGAGCAGGCCGCCGTTGATAGCCGTGTTCTTGTGCTCCACCGAATCTTCGGGGCGATGCCCCGAAAAACTCGGGAGCACCGCACTCAGGTCTACACCATCGAGGAGGCTGTCTAAGTCCGATGTGAGCTCATTGTGCGTCTGCCCCTCCAGAAACTGCACGATAAGGCCTAAGAAGCCGCTCACCTTCTCCCTGAGGCAGGCCGGCAGGAGCACGTGCTGAGACAGCACCTCGCTCAGAAGCTCCGACCAGCCACTCTCGTCGGTCACCGGGGCATAGTGCACGTCATCGGTCGAAGTGCATTCGACCAGGAGGTCCGCACCGGCCCAGAGCTTCTCGACCTCTCCCTGACCGAGCATACGGTATTGTGCAAACAACCCAGGCACGGGCGACAGTAGTGCTTCTCGCTCCGTGAAGAAGGCTGCGTCGCGGCGACTGATTGATCGGCTACGCCCTCGATCAGAAGGGTTTCTCTGAATCGATTGAACATGAGGCCGGGCGACTTGCGCGAGGCACTCTTGACAAGCATCCGAAGCTTCTTCAGGGGCACTGAGGCCGGATGCTGCTTGTAGAACCGTTCGACGAGCTGCTTCAGCTGCTGATCAAACTCCTTTGACATCAATCCTAAGCTTGACAAAGAAAGAATAGTTTCGAAGACGTGTCCTTCATCGACGCAGGTGCCCTTTTGCCCACGACCCTGCAGGCCGGTCCAAACCCCAAAGGTCAAGTATAATATTCTGCTATCTTCGTTGTATGGCCTTAGTACGTACATATTCTCAACATGGTCCCAAAGGGGAAACTTCGTACTACTTATCTGTTATATTTTTCTTCCGAAAAGTCAAGTATAAGATTCTGTTATCTTCGTTGGTATGGCCTTAGTACATACATACTATCAACATGGTACCAAAGGGGGAAACCTCGTACTGCTTATCTGTTATATGTTTCTTCGGGACAGAAGAAAGAAAAAATAACAGATTATTGTACAGAAGTCTTCGGAGTCGCCCGCGCTTCGGAGGAGCTCAAACAGGCCGCCAGGGCGCTTCGCATCATCCTCGGAGGCACCAAGGCCGAGCTCATTTTCAAAGAACTCACACCCCTGAAGCCCCTACGGCATGTGCAAGAGTAGCTGCACCGAGGTCGCTTGTCCGTGCCATGACTGAGCCTTGCGCAGATACACAGATAAAAGCCAGTTTTTCAAGCCTATTTCAAACTTGAGATGTCGAGATATCTCCTATAGCAACGGCCTCGAAATTCCATCTTCTCTGTGTATCGTTCGGAGCCATCAATTATAACGTCCCGTCGGAGCTGGCGGGCATGTCCGAGTTTGATAGGGACTTCTCCTCCAGCTGGAGCCGGTTCAAGAGCCTGGAGAGCGGGGGCACTTTGGTCGTTGCAGACAACACCCTACATGGCGTGCAGCTTTGGCGAATGGCGAATGTCTGGATTTCAAGTCGGGCGGTGGGATCGGGCCAGAGGCGGTGGGACGGAGTGATGATGCCTGACCCAATCCATATCCGTGTGGTTGCTACGTGTGGTTTCCATCGAGTCGTTCTCCGTGAGTAGACTGCCTACTCGTATAATTCACTAGGACCTACATCTGTAAGATACAGGCGTTGGACGGGACTTGCAACTGTTCCGAGAACGTTGACTCTTGTAAGCAGTAGCACGTCAAGGCAATCCTCTGCAAGAGTCAAAGGGGTCGAGCTTATTCCCTCTTGACAGTCGAGCACGATATATCAAAAGTCTGGTAAATTTGCTTGTAAGAAATTGTTCAGTTGCGAGAGAAAGAACTTTAGGCGTAGTTTGCACCCCCAATTTCGGCACTTCAGTTCAAAGCCTCTTGCTGGTCGACGAACAAGGCTGAAGCATCTCTCCATGAACCCTTTGATCCAGTACTAGTGAATCGAAGTCACCGGTTCCGCTCAGCTGTTTCGTCGATGCCGGGCTCCAAAAGAACGCCTCAGCTGTTGTGTGCCAAATGCCTTACATGCAATCTCGTCGATCAGAGATTATTACCAACCAAGAGTCTCCGTACGGGGTCTGCTGTGGCTCTTTGGATTTCCTTTTATCGTGCTCCGGGCATGACATATGCAATCTCGATCAAAGTTATTGCATCAGCTACTGGCGTGACTTTACCTGATTCGTTTATCCGGAGCATGCTAATGTGCTGTTCCACACCTTTGTGTTCGGGAAGGAGTCGCTTCAACGCCACACAAGCGTCATTCTAACCACTTTGTGCGTACGACCGCCATCATCACATCCTGATCATCACTCTCTAATCTCGAATACCCTCTTTTCAAAAGTCTTCACGGTTGCCAGTTCCTTGCACCAGCAGATTATCTTAACGAAAAATGTCCTTGTTCGTGAAATACACTCGTCTCCTAATCCATCCACGAGTCGTGTACGCAGCAGCAGTCACAGTCCGCATAGTCGTTGTTGATGTGCCGGGGGAGCTGGGCGCTTCATCCGTAGCTGACGCAGTGGCGGTACCTTCCAGGCACCTTCAGGTCCCCTGTCGTGTCATGACCGCTAGTATGACGTGCCCGCAAATCTCTACCACCTTCAGCATCTCCAGGAATTGCCTCATCGTGATACCATCTGTCGCCACGATTCGGATCGAGTCGGTAATAAACGTTCTATAAAAAGTTTTGAACGGAAGGTAGTCTATCAAGAACTTCCCATTCCTTCCTTCCAGCCGAAAGGCGTTGAACTCGTAAACGAGTCCTCTCAGACAGGCCACCTCATTTCCCTTGACCAAAATTTGTTCCCGCATAGCTGTCTTCCATTTCCCCTTACGCGGGCTGAAGTCGAAGAAGGTCGAAGTTCCGCACGGCTCGTCCATCCTGGTCACTCACATAACCTCAGATGCACGGTCGCATGTTTCTAAGTTTTCTCGCCTGCAGCAAAGGGTCTGCTTGACGGACTCGGAATTCATGAGGCTCCCTTCGTTCAGAAACATGCTGGAGAAGATGCGGCGCAGGTTCCCGGGTGGCATCTTCGACGTCCCTGCTTCATTCGAAAGGAGGTAAGCTCGGGGGAAAACCTTCAGAGACCCTGCGACGACCCTGTTTATCGATGGCGGCAAGGAGAACTTGCCTCTATTCGCCCCTGCCTTCCTCATCGATGCAACACTCGTCCGTTTTGGATAGAATGTGAATTCCTCGATACGTTCTTCGGCCAAGCAGTCCGTGGTGATCTCTGAGATCTTTTCTCCGAGGCGCGCGATCTCGACCGCAGAAAGATCGGACGGGAGGGCTTGGATCCCCGTGTAGAGAGTTAGCATGAGGAACTGCATGAGCAGGCGTTTGGCGACAGGTGCCAAAGTACCCGGTGCCTTGCTCAGCAGCTCTCTTGCTTGAACCCCGATCTGCCGCTTCTTCTTTAGAATGTCATCCACCGTGATCTCTGTCTCCACGACAGTCTCATCTGGATGTACGCCCTTGTGCTCCGCAGTCAGCTCGTGCATTGCTTCAACAAAGAGCGCATAGTATTTTTCAGTCAGTTCGTGATGCTGTCCCCTTCTCAAGATAATCAGAATGGTGATGAGGTAGATTTTCTTAGATACCAGTTTTTAATTTTCGAGGGAACGGTTCACTGCGTCAATATCATTCAGCCAGAGCAGGTGTTCCATTATCCCTGAGCCGGTCGTCCGCTTGTGCAGGCGGTGTAAGAGGGCCGTGTACTGACCGATCGTTTTGAGGGTTCTCCCGTCACCAGATAGCAGAACGGTGAGGTCCATCGAAGCATAATGCAACCAGTGAAAGCATGAATGATATCTGAACGCTTCTTAGCTGCTTAGTTTTACGAATTCTCTCACCAAGCGGCAACGGCACATCTCGTAGTTGGATTCGAGTTTGCCTCTTTGAAGGCTTGCTGAATCCTAGCCGCCGCCTTGTCCCTCTTCTTTAGGAGCTCATTCGCTCTATATTCTTTGTTTGCCAAGTCACGGATTAGAAATCCCCTCGCCTGTGCACCATCTATGTAGTGGAAGTCATGGTTTTGCTTTATCTTAACCGTGTCGGTCTGGAAGTCTATCTTGAAGCCGCCCGTGCTCACAATGGTATGACCTAAGCTTTTCAGAACTTTGATGAACGTCACAAATTGTCCGAAAGGGAGATACTCGTCAGCTAACAAAAGCGTACAGCGTATGTATTGGTTCTTCAGGTTTAGAAGCTTATCGCCGCAGTAAGAGAGTACTGTTGTATAAAAGATTAGGACCATGCGACATCTTTCCTAGCTTCTTGCTGGACTCGAACATCGTGAGTTTCATACCGTACTTTATCTTTGAAAGGGTGAAGCAAGACTTTGTCGTGAGAGTCGAAATCGTGGACCATTGCGACTCTTGTGTCGGCTTCATGTTTGGCAACCGAGAGCTCGATCTCACAGGGCTGGCGAGTTCTGGCCGCATGCTGCGTTTGATCGTGGCCGACAATGAATGGATGATACATGGTGGGACCGTCCCTCATGCCAAACGGGTCCATCACTGTCAAGTGAATTGGTGGCTGGAACTCCTAGCGGACTGCAAAGCACTCCGAGAATCATGACACGCGGCGCCGGTGCTTGTTGATCCGCTTGCTAACCGTCCCTTTTCAGCGAGAACGGAAGCCTTGGGTCGTCCAGGCGCCCCCCATTTGCTTCCTGAGAAGACGTGTATCCTACTTCGTTTGGGTAGTCGTGTGGGCGTAGTAGAGGCGCATTTCGTCCATGATATCTACGATCTCGTCGATGTCGCCGACGCCAAACTCTATGTAATCGTTGCAGAGCCGTGAGTCGTCTCGGAGCTCCAGCCTACGCAAACCAAGAGCCTGAGTGAGCTCCTTCGTCCGAGAGGCCGGTGCGACTATCTGGCCCCGTACGTACTCCAAAGAGTCCTGACCGTACAGGAACGGTTCGAAGTCTCGCCGGCGTGCAACGACCGCAAGGTCGCCCAAGCTCTCGCAGAGCTCGGACGCCTTCGTTGTCACTTCTGAGTAGTGGTCTTCACCGGAGTGCACGTAGTCGCGCCTCGCGTTGGCCAAAGATTGCACTAGCTCCCCACTGCACTGCGGAGACACCATCTCGAACGTTTTGAAACGACCGATTCGTTTCTTCAACCCCTTCTATCCACCGGCCCCGTTCCGCACGTAGCCTGCACAGCATACAGCAAACAGGGTCTCCCGGTTGTGTCTCTTGTGGGGACTTGACTCGTTCATGAGATGCTCAGCAATGTTTGCCCAATGTTCCCTTGGGTGGCCCCGTTTCTTGCGCTTCAATTCACGCCCGTCTAGGGCGGCATTAAGACCCTGAGGACCATCATGCTTGTCGAGAGCGACGGCCAGCACGTCCTGCCACTTGTACACTCGGATCTCTGTCCTGTCGGCCCGGTGTAGTGTATGTAGGACTGGACAGCAGTGCAGGTCTTTGTCACCAACGAGCGCGTCTTTACAGGCAGAGTGGCTCGACAGCCTGAGGTTACGTAGCCCTTGTTTTGTGCAGTCGTGACAGGCTCTGAACCTATCGTCGAACGGGAAGACGACAGTCGTTGGCCGTTTGCATCCTTCGCACGATTTTGAAGAGGCTGTCAACCGTTGGACCTTGATGCCTGGTTGTTTGGGTTCCAAACCGTCCTCATATGCTTTCTTCCTCTTATCCCAACATTCTTGAGCAACTTGACGAAAGGCACTTGATATTGGTGTCATTCTCATCAAGAGCTCTGGATCAGACACTGCAAGATCGAACAACAAGTCCGGGAGGATTGCCACCACCTGAGCGGTAGACACCATCCTTTTAGTGTCGAGAATCTGTGTTGGTTGGACAGGGTCACACGCTGCCTGTCTACTTCACAT